CGCTACGCCTCTGCTCCCACCGGCATGAATGAGTCTACTGTGACACTGTCGTACGTGTTTTGTGACGTCACGTCTTGCGCATGCCCTACAGCTGTTCGGCAGGTTTAGTCTATAGGCCTACATTATTTATAATTATGCAGTAACGTAATCTTGTTAATTATTCAAGGACCGTGTGTTATAATTTGACAAGTGATAGCTGATTCATTGGCACGCGCGGTTTTTATAGAGTTGAGAACTAAACGTGTTGACGTTCGCTTTTGATTCGCGTGCTGTAGTGTGGATCTAATTATCTTCCGAGTTAAGTAGACATCGATAACAACAAATTATGATATTTGTTTAAAACGTAATTTAATGAAACAATTATCAAGCCGAGCTGTTATTTTATTACGTGGTTAATACATTAGTTGTTTTATGCTGGTTATTTTAGATGTTTATGTAAAAATAGAGGTTACCTCCCTTTTTTGTTATGACTTCAGGAAATAGAATTTACCTCCCATTTTCTATCAGAGGGGGAAAAAGGGAGAGAATCGATCCACAATCTGACCTTGATGTGTGTGGGTTTTTTCCCCTTCTAGTGTATCCTTCTTTCCCCTGCCGTCACAATCTTCTTCGACGTCATTACTTCTGCACTTTAAACCTTTTTTGTAAGTGAATTGAAACCCACCCATCCACCACACTTTCCACACACTTGATCACACACGCTCACACACACACACACGCATGCTCACACATCCATCACCACACACGCTCACACATACCCACACACCTCACTGTCACAAATCAACTATGGCATAGCCAGAAGTTCTCCCATTCGTCCAACTCTCACCCCCCCCCCATTTCTACCACTTTGACTTATTCATGAGCATCGATTCCAAGCGGGTGGGGTGGGGGATGGTGTGGAGTCGCCCCAACTCTCTGCCTTTTGTCTAATTCAACACCCCCCCCCCTCCCTTACCCCCAACTCTCATCTGTTCTACATCACTGAACTTTTGCACAATTCGGGTTCTTTTCCGTTAGATGGTACCAGTAGTACTCGTTCATGTTGATCCTAAATAAACACGTTGCGCTATTTTAACTTTTAGACTTAAAATTCAGGCTAACCTTTCTGCAACTCAAGTCATAAGCTTTTGATTATGAGTTATGAAGGCGAATCATGGGCAGGAAAAGTTAACTAAAACCTACCACAGTATTTCATTTCAAATACAACACCTTCAACTTTGAAAACCAAAATCTAAACTCGTATAATTGTTAACGTGCATTACACGCTTGCCTAAACTAAAAAGAAGCTCAAGATTTCAACTGGATTTAGTTTTAAACGTTGTTTCTTTTCTTTTTTTCTGAATTGAAGGTTGTGTTTTTTAGATTTTCCATTATGTTTGCTCTTTGTAACTTTATCACCAAAAGCTTGCGCATTACGTCATCAGTTTTTGCGTCAAGGGGAGATCATTAAAGCCGCCAGAGATGAAAGCATATGGCAGCTAATCGCGGTACACGGCTTTTTTTTGAAGAGCTTCCCAGCGGTCTTTACTGGCACATCGATGCCATTATCGCAGCAACATTGCGGGCGGTCTGGCGTTTTATGAACTGACCACGATTCGGACAAACCGAAAGGACAGACGGACCGTTACTACAAAATAAATAATTGCTTTATCGGCACAAAATAAACATGCTTGATAATAATCGTGTACAGCTTTTATTATTAACTTACTTGTGTCTGGGTTTTTTTAACGTAAACTTTCCAATCCTCACCTCATAGACCTAAACATAATTTCTCCCCTCGCTTGCCCCTCCATGTTTCATTTGTCTAATGCAGCATCCACCCATACTCAACCCACTCGTGACCGTATCCGCCGTGAGCACAATACCCGCCTGTAGGAAATAATGGAACACGTTATCTGCATTGACCACAGGTCGGTGCCCGCGTGTCTGATGGGTCAGCCTTTTTTGTGGCTTTGATTGTGTCCGGGGTCCCTCGCGCGATATTTGTTTATGTCTGCTGTCAAGCCTACAGCATAATATGAATTTTTTAACGGCCAACACTCCCCCCACCACCACCACCACCACTCTAACAAAGATGTTGGGGAGTACAGCAACAAGCGGGCACCAACCTGGTCCAATGGAACACTTCAAACGTCCGAGTGTGTCCTTGACCACTGTGACGTGTTGGACATAAAAAGATGTATTGTTTGTCTGGACATCCATGAGTGTTATACTAGTACCATCACCATCCACGATTGTTATACTAGTACCATCACCATCCGCGAGTGTTATACCAGTACCATCACCATCTACGAGTGTGTTATACCATATGTCAAGTTGTGTGACCTTGAGCGATTATAATATTGGGAGGGGGGGTCTGGTCACACTGGTTGGTATGCTGGGCATGAGACTATGACGTAATGTTGTCATCAAGGTCGTGAGGGCAAACGGTTTTGTGGCCTTACGATGATCACTCGGGTTTAACGTGGACGGAGTGGTCGATATATTCTTCAGTCATAGTCGAGTCTTGCGAGGGCTGACTTAAAGATTCTTTGGCCGCTTTAAATGAGGCACTTCGATCATATGTTGCAATCATTATCAGCGGAGTTGACTGATAAATGCACCAAACGATGCTTCATCAGACACTTCCTTATGTCTTCTAGATCTATATTGTGTGTGAGAAACAATCGCTTCCCTGACGTTCGCTGCAGAGCTGGCTTCAATAAAATACTGTAAGATACGAAATGAATGATAGGAGCAGTTCTGTACCCCGCTAAGAAAGATTCTCATTCATACAGGTGTTAATGCATGTCTCAAAACACCTGTTAGGAAATGAAGCGGTTCTAAGTTCTCTCCTAGGATTATAATTTGTTTTAATTAACTGATGCTAAACGCGTGTAATAATCTCGCCCGGTGCGAGACGTGGACGAGATGTGGAAACAAACCACTCGGCCATCAACCTAATTAAAAGTATACAGACACCGCTTGTTTTTCAGCCACGCCCTCCCCTCTGCGCCGCTCCGTGCCACGTATTCAATAGATGGCTAAACTACAGTTGAGGGGGAAAATACATGGCGAGTGTCGCTCGAGTGCCCAACTAGTCATATGCGGACGACCATTACGCTATTGATTTCTCTCACGGATGGAGGAAGGTACTACGTACAAAATCGATGCTTCGTGGCCGAGGGTCGCGCTGGTATATGCCGAGTAGTGCCCTCGTATATGTCGAGGGATGCCCTCGTATATATTGAGTGATCCACTTGCTTGTGTCGAGTGATGCCCTAGTATATGATGTGGTATCATCGTATGTAATATGTGTTGACTTCGTTGCCCTCACATATAGGGCGTGTTGCCCTCGTAAGCAAATATTGACTTTGTAATTACTTATTAGTGCCCTCGTATATGTCAAGAGTTACTTTCGGTGGTTTTTGTTGTCTCTTTCAACACACATTACTCTGTACATGCATACCTCCTACCAAGAACTTATCGAAAAATGTGTGAGCAATGTTATTTTTAGCTCGATTCAAGTTTTTAAAAACTAAAATTAAAAACGTATAATTAAAATCTTTAGCGATTCTATTTTTTTTTATAATTCCACATTTTCACTCGAGCAACTCCATTATATTAAAGTGTATCCGTGTCATCAAAAACACGGAGCCCTCGCTAAAAAACCTCGCATCAAGAGCTCTGCCAGCCGCTTCCTCGTATTTGTTGTTTGCCCAGCGTTCTCGTCAAACACTGCAGAGGAGACGAAAATATAACGCCAACAATAGAAAACGGATTTACCCGATTCTGTATTAATAGCCGCGGTATGGATCGTGGCGTCAGGTTCTGGAGCTCTCCTCTGATGGAGATTTCTTGTCGTCTGGCCGTCAAGGTGTTCTGCTGTGTGCCCAGTATTGAATAGAGGGACTCGTGCTGCTCCAGTGGCGGGTGATTGAGGGTTATGAGTGTCATTGATTTGGCAGATATCGATTTGTTTATATTTTCCTCTACGTTGTTTTTAATACCATGTTGATATTTTAGTGTACGTGGGGTATTTGGGTACAGGGGATTTAATTACGTTAATTAGATCTATACGCCTACGGGGGGAGGGGGGAAGGGGAGCGGGTCAAGGCTATTGGCCAACACGGGTCTGGGTTACATGGCCAACCTATGGATTTGTGGGTCTGGGTTACTTAGCCAAGTGTGGACCCGATTCAGTCAAATGTCCGTAAGGCTTTGGGAGACGCATGCATAGAGTTGACCTTAAGTGACCAGTCCGAAACAACACGGCACAAGCCGAGGTTATTGACCTATCTATCAGCTGATTTATCGTCTGCTCATTGATTATCATTTGGCGTGGGGGTGTGTGTGTGGGGGGGGGGTGATGCCTTGTGTTGGTGTATGACAGACCCGTTTGATGGATGAGGAAAGTCTCTGCCAGCTGTATCTTGACAGAAATTTGACAGACGAAAGTCTGCTGTTGAAGTATGACAGACACACTTGACAGACGGAAATCTCTTCCGTTGAATTATGACAGACACATTTGACAGATGCGGGTCTCTGCGATTAGGCCACATTAAGGGTCTGACGTTACCGCCATTTTTATGAACGCACCTTTATATAGCGGTTCTTGTCTTCTGTGTGAGATTTACCTTTAAGAGCTTATGTTGCGGGGGTGGGGGGGGGGGGGGCGTGTAACTGTCAGCCTGGCGTTACCAGAAAGGTCGACTGTTGTATGGAGGCTGAGCTGATGATGACATGAGCTAGGAGTTCTCGGTCATCTATCCGGGTGGTTGTTTGAAAGGAATAAATATAAACTAATTAACGTTTCAAACATGATTCTACCTTCATGATTTGTACGAAATTTTAAAAATTAAACTTTATCTTAACTTAAATTATTTGACTTGTAAACCATCGTCTAAATTCTTTGTGAGCCATTTTCTAGAAAGAGAACTATACAAAAGATCAATAGCTATACATTGCCTTTGTGAAATGAACCCCTGCATTAATGTTGTCTCTACTTTTATCATTCACAGTTTGGAAAGTCACCTTTCGCCTTTGGACCAACCGTGACACCTGCCAACGGCAACGTGCAGCATCACCTGAACGGCAACGGCCCTGAGTACCACCACCATCAACACCACCATGGGGAGTGGCCTCCTGCCCCCACTTCCCTTCCAAGCATGGGCGGGGTGGGGGGCGACATGAGGGGAGCCAGTCCAGCTAAAGACAGCCCAGGCCATAGTAATCGTAACAGCGCGGCCAGTAGTGACAGTGGGCGAGGCTTCAGTACTGGACACATAGATGTCAAGGTAAGGGTCAGCGGGGTCTTTTACCTGGTCAAATTTAGGTGGGAAGCAGGTCTCATATCATGTCAAATTTAGGTGTGAAGCAGGTCTTTTACCATGTCAAATTTACGTGTGAAGCAGGTCTTATATCATGTCAAATTTAGGTGTGAACTATATCTTTTATAGATCGAATTAATTTCCTGAAAAGTATGAAGTAGGTCTTTAACCTGATAGCTAACACCACAAGGCAGAACATCAAATTTACAATATACCTGACATACACTTTAGCTTAATTAACATTGAGTGATATTTCAACTCTGCAACAAGACAAAGGCACAGAAAAAAGTTATTATAACAACAGAATGATAGAGCACCAGACTCATAACCCAAAAGTCTAGAGTTCAAATCTGGGTTCAAGTCAGTAAAAGTAATCCACCAATCTCTGATGGGTATTTAAACTCACATTAGGGCAAGTAAAGCGACTGGCATAGTGCTAACCACACTTTCCTTTCATATGCCTATGTCACAGAAACAGGTGAACTCTACTTCACTTACCCATCAGGTTCAAAAAGGGAACTTAAAATTAACAACAGAATGGTAAACTTAGACAGGCTTTGAGACCACAGTCATATAGCTGGCTTATCTATTGTCTTTAATGTAACTTTGTTCTCTTGTGTTAGTGTGCTGCATTGTTTCCAATTCCAGCTTCAAATTCTGTACTCACTTAACATAATATAGCTTAGAAAGCAACATCTGGGAGTTTGTTATCTTTGAACATGGCATCTTAGAGTATGCCATCTTTGAATATGGTATCTGAAAATATGACATCTGGAAGTAAAAATAATTAGTATTGACACATTAGTATGCAAACCAATTAGATGAGCATGTTACGTATGCACACAAGATGGGACTTAATAAATAACTAACCCCGCACGTATTCCAACATCTTTGAATGACAATGCCACCCGTATGACATGATGTAGGAAATGACAATCCCACCCAGGTACAACTAATTCTTGTACAGGTGACTAATCTCAAACTAATCCCCCACCCCTCTCCCTAGCCTACAGGTAACAGTTACCTGTACCAGGACAAACATGATCTAAGAAGTAAGGCAGGACTGTGTAGGAATTTCCTTACTGCTAATACTGCTATTCATCACATTCTCTCCAATTGTAGCAAGTCATACCAAGCCCCTGTTCTGTGAAACCAGATACCCCACTGTTGAATGGTTGTCTCCCCTCAACTTAAGAGTAGTTGTCCCCCTTTAAACATAGAATAGCTGTTACCCACTTCACAAAATATATCATGGTATTATATCGTTTATTTAACCAGTTTTCATATAACAAGTTGTCTAGCAGTTTTTGAGTTGTTCATTGGGTTTTTTTTTTAAGATCATAAATTTTATAATTTTATTAGTATATTTTCTTAAAAAATAAATATATAATAATTCCATTTTACATGAATGTGTCCTTAAAGGTAAATATATGAAATCCCAACTTTAACGTTTTTTTTTAATTTGTCATTAAGGTTAAATATATGAAATCTTAACTTTGACTTTTTTTTTGTGAATGTGTAAATATATCCAAATTTAAACATTTTTGTTCATGAATGCATCCTTAAAATTAAATGTATCGACGGACTCACCTGCCTCACCTGAGTGGTCTCTCCTCCCCAGCCAGTGCACAGTTATGTGAACGTCCATGTAAACAACCAACAGCACAGACTCTCTGGCCAGAGCTACGAGTCCGGCGTCTCGTCCAGACAGAGCTACCACAGCACGTCCAGTTCCAGCCTAGGTAGCCTGGACCGCTTGGAGGAGCCAGGCTACACATCCACAATCAACGTCGCTCAGCTTTTCCAGGCAGGAGTGCCTGTAAGTACCTGACCGTTGTGGTTACTGACAACATTCCCTGACTCTCATGTTTTACTGACAACATTCCCTGACTCTCATGTTTTACTGACAACATTCCCTGACTCATGTTCTACTGACAACATTCCCTCTAAGTAGCTGCCTGTTGTGGTCACTGACAACATTCCCTGACTCTCATGTTTTACTGACAACATTCCCTGACTCATGTTCTACTGACAACATTCCCTGACTCTCATGTTCTACTGACAACATTCCCTGACTCTCATAGTTAACTGACAACATTCCCCCTTAATACCTGGCTGTTGGAGTCACTTACAACATTCCCTGTGACTGAACCACCAGGTTACAACAACTGCACCACCATACAGCTCAGAGGGAACATTGTTTACTGACTATGTGGACTAATGTTGACCTGTCCTTGTGTTTTTAACACTGACCAGATCGTAAAGTTAAATTGACCCTAGATTTTACAAGATCAACTGTGACCAATTTAGGTTTATACACTCAGATTATACATTCAGCCTGGACATTTTACAATCTAGACATATCAGACAGGTTGCTGAACTGTTTTTCTAGTCTTTCAGCGTAATCCATCCATGTTAATTTTTGTAATCAATTATTTCAGGATAACGAGGTACTCCATGCCTGGCTTCATGACCTGGGATATGTGGATTACTACCCACTTTTTCTTCAGGCAGGCTACGACATGCCAACAATATCTAGAATGACCCCTGAAGTAAGCCATTTCACTTTCTTACATAAAAAAAGTTGAATTAAATATTAACACAAAAATATTCGTTTCAAATCATCACATCATTTAAATATTATTTCTTTAAAATTTATTTAAAAGTGTAGTTTTAATGCAGTCATAAATTTCTTGTTTAAAAATTATCTTAAATAAAATAATCTTCAAACTCTTTATAATTAAAACAATTTTTTTCTCTATTTATTTTAAAATGTAAGTAAAATTGTTTTGTTTTACGAATGTGCAATGTAAATTTTTGCCTCAGGACCTGACGGCCATTGGCATCACAAAGCCGGCCCACAGGAAGCGGCTCAAAAGTGAGATAGCTCGGCTCAACATACATGATGGCATACCTGACTACAGACCTGTAAGTACTTGGGGTTCAGGGGTTTAATGGTACTGGGGTTCACTTGGTAGTGGGTCTGTTGAGTTGGTGCTTTGTGATTTAATGGTTTAGAGTTTCACAAGTTAAAAGTGTTAGGGTTTAGTTGTGTTTAGGTTTAGTTGGTTAAGACTAAGTTTTCTGTGGTTTTGTAGTTCAGTTAATTGGTACATCAATTTTTAGTTCAAAACTCAATAGAAATAGATTAGGATCTTACATGGGTATACAGAATTATTGCATATTGCACAATTTTCTAAACATGAATAGTTTAATAGTTTGAACTTTTTTGGGTAGAATATTTCACAGATATTAAAGTGTTGGACAGAGTATTTTAATCATTTTTACTTTGCTGGACAGAATGACCTGATGGAATGGCTCCACCTTCTAGGACTGGGCACCTACTTGGACATCTTATGTGGCCAGGGTTACGACAACATTGATTATGTCACAGACATCACCTGGGAAGATTTGGAGGAAATTGGCATACAAAAATTGGGTATGTTGGCTTTTTGTTAGGCTCTGTGGTGTTTGTTGTTGATTTCTGGTCTTATTTCTCAAACCTGTACCCAAAACATTTTTTTAAATTTATTTAAACTTACAGCTTAAAAAATATTCATAGATGATTCATTTTAAATTTAATATAGTACTTTTTTTATAAATAGCTGCTTGAGATTTTTCATTATATTTAAATTATGGACAAAGGGGTAGATTTAAAAAACAAGTTAACATTAAAATTCATAATAAAAACTACCATAACACATATTTATTTATTTTTGGGGGGGAAAAAATTAATCTCACACTAATATATTTTTGCTGCTTAAAAATTAGCATTCTTTGCAAGTTTAATCTTAAGATAAAGAAGTGTTAATGAAATTGGAAAAAAAAAATTTTAAATCTGCTAAATAAGAATTTTTTGTTCTTTAGAAAAAATGTTAAAATAAAAAATGTATATCATAAAAATAATATTCATAATCCAAATAAATCTGATTTATAAAAACAAAATGTATTCAAGTAAAAAAAAAAATATTTTTTTTACATAAAATACAAATATTCATTCACAAAAAAAAATATAATTTTTTACATAAAAACAAATATTCAATCACCAAAGAAATATAATTTTTTACATAAAAAATATTCATTAAAAAAAAATGTTGAAAGAAGTAACCCAGCTTTGGATGTCTGGCCTTATCTAAACGTCTTGGCTTGTGCCAGACAGCTGTTGATTTAAACATCCAGACCAACATAGTTTATGGCAACCTTTGAAAAGATAAACTTGAAATAATTGAGCTATTATTGTTTGCCATATTTCAAAAACCTGGCATTAGCCTAGCTGTTTTACAAGGAGCTCCATTGATAGCTGCACTGTAATGGTGAGGCGCTAGGGGAGGTAATTCTCAAGGGAGGTAATGTGTGCTGTAGTACAGTCCCTTGATGAAGACTTGTAAGCTCATTAGTGGGGATTAACCAGACTGGGGTCTGTAAACTTTAATTGGAACAGGACATTTTTAACCTGTTTCTATTTCAAGTGCATTTTTTAACTGGCAAGGTGGCAATGTACCAACTAGGAAATAGGAGATTTTTAAATTAATTTGACACTTTGTAAAATTGTTTCTTCGCATGAAGCTGACATTTTTATTGTTGTTATACTTTAAGCTTATAATCCATCCCCTAATGTCACGTTACCTGTTACCTGTGTTATGTGACTTATCCTGTTACATGAGTGTAAACTGACCTTTTTTTTTCCCTGTCTAATGTGCTGTAATTCATCTGTGTAGTTGTGAGGTACCCAGATTGAGAAAAGAAATGCCTGTTGCTAACAATCTATTTATAAATCTCCTCCCCACTGTGGATCTGAGCAGTAGGGGTTTGAACCCAAGTGTAAACAAAAGTGCTCTGTTTATTCACTTAGTTTATAAACTTCTCATTGTTTCCCTCCGCCTGATGTGTAAGAGATTAAAGCAGGGGGGCTGCATATAACAAGAGTTAGCGTTCTTGCCTTTAACAGAGTTAGTGTTCTTGGGCTTTACCTGGGCCTGTACTGTAATAATTAGGTGCAGTATTTAAAGGGGGCATGCAGCAAGGGCTGTAACTCACTTGGGATGTGATATTTTCTCAAGGTGGATGTGCTCTTTTGTCTGGCACTTGGCATTTCCTTTTGTGTACAGTGGCAGAAATAGCAGCAAGCCGCCAGTTGTAAATCTTGCTTGAATTTTTGCTTTAGACTGGTTTTCAATGCTGATTTCGGCATTGAGACCATCCACTGTTACAGTTCAGATTTCTGTGTTGAGTTTCTGGTGTGTTGAAGAAGAATCAGTGGAAGGTTAAACAGAGATGTGATTATGTTTTTATTTTGAGTGAAACTACAGGAGCTAGTGCATTGGTTCTAACTTTTGGACTAGTTTTTGTTTTATTAATCAACTTTCTACTGTAAGTTCATGATAGAACAAATGAAAGTTATTTTATAATCAATTCTACTTGTAATTAGATCTATAAGCATTTCATAAAAATTCACTTGGCCCATGATTTTCTTTTACAGCATAAAGTTACCAAAAAAATTGAATATGTAATAAGAACTTAGTCTAGTTGTTATTGAAATAATTGTGTACAGTTAAATTGCGCACAATTTTAAAGTTCGCTTTTAAATAAACAACAATGTCAAAGAATGTGTAATTGTTTTTTTTTGGAGGTGTCCATAGGTGACATGACATTCAGAGGGGTAAGGTGATTCAGGCTTGTGTTATGTGTAATGAAGGCAAGAGAAAGAGTTAGTGTGAAGTCACTTAAGCATTTTTAAAAGTAATTTTTAACTGAATTTGTACATTTCTCAAAGGTAGTTTTGTAAACTAAATAAAATGATCAGATAATCTGGATACAGCTTAGGTATCAGTTTTCTAAATTCCTATATTTTTAAAAAAATATTTTTGGGTTGGATATACTAAAGTGTAGCATTATATGGAGAGGGCTCTTACTCTGTGTTGTAATGTGTAACAATGAGGTGTGGGGAGGGAGGTAAAAATCATCAAAAAATAAAACATGAAGTTGCTAATGGATTACACCTGACTATCTCTACGTCACTCATACAACAATGTCACCAACAAATATTTAACAAAGACTTAGCCTTTCCACTGTCAGTTAATTATTTTTGTATTTTTCTTCTTTGTGCAGGTCACCAAAAGAAAATTATGTTGGCTATTGACCGCCTGAAGAGGATCACTTCTGGGGTCAAGCGTCTGTCCACCGTAGATGGAAGAACAGCTTCATTAGAGCTACTGGAGCCCCCTCCACCAGCTCCCCCCATCACAGGGAGGTGGTCAGGCGGGGAGATCTCCTCCAGCCCCCAGCACATCTACGACGGGGCGCTGGGCGGGGCCAGGCCCAAGAAGTCACCGTCAGGGGACAGTATCAGCACCACCAGCAGCGGAAACAGTGGGAGCAGCGCAGGCAGCGGGGCCCACAGTGGCGGAGCCGGCGGGGAAATGAGAGTGATTCCACTGCCCAGGGAAGACGCAGGTTTAGCAGGTGCCATCCCGTACAGGCACAACTCTACAGGCAGTGTGGGCAGCTTGCAGCCGGACGTCGTTGCCATCCAGGTCAAGCGGAACATGCGGTCAAGCACTTCTGAAGACAAGCGTGACCATAACGGTCAAACTCTGATGTACCACTCCTTCCAGGGTCCAATGAGGAGGTCCTCGGATAACGACGTCTTTAATGATAATCCAGGGGACATTGATAACACCCACTACCAGATACTACCAAACTCTGTGGTGGACAAACGTAAACCCATAGCTAAAGTCATCGGTCAGCCTGAAGCAGAAAAGCATGAATCGGAAATTAATTCCGATGGAAACAAGGTGTATTTAACCAACGCAGGCCCAAAAATTAACAATAACAACAATGCTCTGAGAGTGGAAACAGGGGAGCATATCTACGATACTCCCCAAATTTCTCAGAAGTCTCCCAAGCCCTCTCTTGCCCCGTATAGCGGAAATGGCAACATTTCTGATTCCTTGCACGTCATCACAGTTAGTGACCCAAATTTTCCATCGTCCAATCCTGTATCTCCGGGAAGTAAAGGAGGCAAGAAAATACCACCTCCTCCACCAAAACGCACACATTCTATCAGAGAGGAGACGACTCCCTTGTCCCAGAGTGCACCTGGCTCACCAAGCAGACATCCTCTGGCACCGACTACCATCACTGTGTCAGCGTCGGTCCACCCACATCCTACGACTATCATTGCCACCAAGCAGGCCCCTCCTCCTGTCATGCAGAAGCCACAGAAGCCTCACTCACCAGCTGTGGCTAGCAAGTTTCAACAGCAGCTGCAACAGGCTCAACAACAGCTGCATCCACAGCAACAGCCCCTGCATCCGCAGCAACAGCTGCATCAACAGCAGTTGAACCAACAGCACCTGCACCAGCAGCAGATTCACCAGCAACAGCAGTTGCATCAACAGCAACAACAACAGCTGCATCAACAACAGCTGCATCAACAACAACAGCTGCATCAACAACAGCAGATGCATCAACAACAGCAGATGCATCAACAACAGCAGTTGCACTCCCAGCAGCCTCAACAACAGGTTCTACCTAACCACCAGAATCATCCACAACAACAGCCAGTCCTGCCACAACAACAGGTCTTACCCCAACAACAAGTCCTACCCCATCAACAGGTCCTACCCCACCAAGTCCTCCCCCACCAGCAAGTCCTACCCACCCAACACCATCTAAATCCTGTACAACAGCACCCAGCACAACTTATCCCTCCAGTTGCTCAAAAACCTGTTTCACCCAAACCTATTCAGCCACACAAGATGATCATTGCTGCCCCGCCCACCCACGGCTCCCAGGGCCAGGCTCAAGCCCCGCCCCAACAACCAGCCGTGTTTGCCAAGCCCAAAGTCTCGGCCCTACAGCCCCACGTACAGCAGCTGATTCAACCCAAGTCACCCTTGCCCACCAAGTCTCCTCTTGCGTCCACAGTGACCAATGTGCCTAAACAACAGCATGTCCTGCCTCATCCATCCCACACCCAGCCCCTCCCTGGTCAGCAGCAGCAGCAGCCCACAGTACCACCCCAGCATTCAACACCTGCGGCTGGACCACCCCAAGCCCAGGCGTTTGCCAGCTGTGTTAAAAGCTTATCTGAGAAGTTTGGCAAACAGAACGAGGAAGAAGACCAGTTCCCTGACAACGTGTCCACCGACAGCGACGACTTCCCACCACCGCCGCCTCCAATAGCCATGGACATCATCACACCAAAGATCCACAACTACGGCATCCCATCCTCCAGAGACAGGGGAAAACCAGACTTCTGCATCCACCAACGAGACTACGCCAATAAAACCAGACCTAACCCTGGCAGAAATTTCATCCAGCCAACCGGCCACCAGCGCCCTACAGGTCACGTCATGCCCGTCGCCCCCATGACTAAATCAATGACTGAACACAACCCAGCCAGCGCAAGTGTCCAGTTGCGGAAAGCCGCGATCCTCTCCTCAACTAACTCACCTTCTGGGAGTGACCTCGAGCGCACGCCTGAACCGGACAGCGTTCACGCCATCAGTAACGACAAGCGCAGTGAGTCCACAACCAGCTTTGAGTCCAACTCCTCCTCGTCTAGCGTTGACTCTAACACCTTGCCTTTTGCCAATGAGAACGTAGGTACAATCAAACAACGAGCTGCCAACACAAAGCCCTCCATCGTCCAGTCAGTGGACATGGATGGCGGACAGCGCAATGTTGACCTTAACTCTGATATTTTTGAGAAGGAATCTCTAAAAACTATGCCTGGATACTCTAGCTCATACCCTCAGCATGTAAACATGGCTGCAAGCGACTCCTCTAGGTCCGTAGTCTACAATGGCAGTCCTCAGAGCCCCCGTACACAACACTATCAGAAACAGCTTAACCCTACAGGTAACTTTCTCTTATTTTACCTCAAACTTAATTACCTTTTATTTGTTTTTTCTTTAGTTATGTTGTTCAGTACTAAAGACTTAGACCACTTTTTCTAAATGCTCTGCCTTTATTTTTTTTAATATTTATTTTTACATTGAATATATGTCACTGTTTTGAATAAGTCTAAAAAAGTCTGATTTATATATGAATAAAAAAAAATTTAATTTATTGACAGTTTTTTAAAAAGAAATTCGACAATTTATAGTATTATAAAATTATTTATAGTATATAAAATACTTATCTCATTGAATCTTGTTTAGAAAAATAAAATTTTAAAATTGCTCCAAAAATATTATCAACTCTGTTAAACCGATTATATAAGTGTAGTTAAATTTCTGTAACAATTTGTTCAGGTGCAGTTAGGCCGCCAGTACCAAACAAGAAACCAACTCTGAGTCCAAAACCATCCAGGACAGGTGTGGAGACATCTACACCACAGCAAACACCTGCTGCAGACAGGTAATGTTTTCACAACTGTAATTAGTACGATATTTTAGCAGTCTCCAGTTCCAATCCAAAGGCTCGAGTCTGTAGGACGTACCTGACTAAAGGTATGGGTATAGTGCTGACCACACTATCCCCTTGTATACTGAGGTGATTAAAACAGGTGAACTCTACTTCATCTGCCCCCTGTCTTGAGCACCAATGGGATAAGATGATGATGATAATTATTTTTTAAATATTTTTTATAAGTGTAACATTGTGTTTTCTTAATTTTTAAATTGTTTTTTTCAAGTTAACCATGTAGACCTTTAATTTAAAATATACCCCCATATAAAAATAGCAATTTAAAAATCTGTTTATTCTGATCTATCTCCATATAAAAGTATCTTTTTTTCCCTAATAAACATTGTATATTCTAGCTGCTTGTAAAAAAAAAAGGGTTTCATCAACTAAATTAACCTTGTATCATCTACTTCCTCTTTCACCAGCCAAAAAGCCCAGAGTTCTGGCAATGTCCTGAGTGATATTGATGACATGCTGCAAGGCCTGACAGACGAGCTGGACGCCATGTTGGAGGAGGAAATGGCCAGCTGATGACCAGGTGTCCCCAAGCTTAGCTTTAATATCTGTCTTCATTTTTGGATCTGATTTATTCTTCATCACTCCAGTCTTATTCAAGCTTGCATTTCGTCTTCATTATAAAAATATGCTATAGTTGAATATGTTGTAGATTTGTAAAGCTGTTAGATGGATAATTTATTTATCTTCCATTTTTTAAGCTGATCTGTTTGATTCACAACTAGTTCTCTTTTTTTTTTTTACTGGTACATCAAGTTTTAAACAAGAGTTGATTTTTTTTTAATTAGAAGACTAAGGTAAACTTGTTTTTATTTAATCTGTTGAACCTGTGTTGCTATTTTAAGACATGATCCCATTGTGATTACTGAATGATTATCTGTGTGTGTGGTTTACTTCACACTCTGTTGTAGATGTTGTAGGGGGCTTCCACCAGTTTTATTTTAAACTTATTTTAAAAACTATCCATACTCAACCTTTGTTGAAGGCCTAAAAGGCCAAATGAAATTAATTTTATTTGAATAGATTTTATGTAATGAAATTGTTAGATTTTTTAAAATATACACAGGAAAAATATGCAATAGTTTTTTGTTTTAAATATCAAAATGATAAATTTAAAAAAAAACAACAATGGCACTCTAGATCTACCTCACCTAAAGACATTATCCTCTATTTTTTTTTTTCATTTTTCTAAATTTGTTACTCTAAAATTTATGTGACAACAAATTAGACTTAAAATCTTAATTTTGTTCACTAATGAATCTTTACAGTCGGTAACCATTATCTATTTTTCTGAAATTCGAAGCCTGTTTAAACTTTATTTTTTTTAACACAAACTTGAATACCACTATCATTAGATACTTAAATTTCTATTTTAGTTTTCTTTGGATAATAGCATGAAGTAAACTTAAAATTGATCTATGCCAGTATTTTTACTTAAAAATTATAATGTCTTTTCATCTATTGTTTTCTGTTACTTTTTTAAATGTTTCGAGCATTACAGATTTGTTTATGTGTAATGAAGTTTAAAAAGTGACAAGCATGTGTGTAATGACGTTAAAAAGTGAGAAGGATGCGTATAATAAGAAAATGTCATATATCATCAGGTTTCGTCTTGTTTTCTTGGAATGAATTCTCCCGCTGTGTTCGTCATAGTGTGGCCATTTATTCCGCTGCTTGTAATCTAGTTTTAGTACAAGTATCTTTGATGGTAATCATTTCTTTTTTTTTTTACTTCATTCTGTAAATGTTTAAAAATTAGTTAACACTTGGAAAATGTTTTTTTATTTACAATTCGCCAATCAGATTTTATGTTATACTTATTATAGTTCACAAAAAGCTAGTGATATTCAGTACATAAAGTGGCAGTTGGCCAAAATATTTGAAATGTCGAAGTTGAGAATTTTGTCTGTGTGCCACTGATGTTTGAACCTGCAACTGTTGTTTTACTTTGTTCATAATACATCACATGTCTCAGGACAACATCCTTATCATCTGTCTCGGGTTGGGTCATGACCCGCACTTAGCCCTAGTTGAACTAGCTTCATCATATAACGAGTCCTTTTCAGGGACATAGAAAGTAGAATCAGCTTGTGATCCTTTTTTTTTTTTTGCAGAACTAGTGGGTTTTTTCATACATACTACACTCATCATCATTCATTATTGCAAATATTTTATCTTTTGTCCAAATTTCTCTTCAATTTGTTTTTTTTTTGTTGTAAAAACCAATCAACTGTAAATGGATCTGTGTAATTTAAAAAGTGTGATAACAGTTGAACCACACTGTACAGATGTTTTTTTTGTTCCTGGATGTAACGTACAGCACCTGAACTCACAGGTGTTGACAGGTGTTTTGTTGTTTTAATCTAATCACCTAATGATGAAAAGACCTTGATATCAAATATCAGTACATTAATGTTTCCAATAATCAAGTAACCTTATCTAATATTGTTAATCAAAAGCTTTATTTATTGTTTTTCATCATAATTGTTTGTATTATTTTACTGTCGTTAGGCCAACATATTAAAAATTGTTTTAAGACTTATGTTTTATTCTGCTTTGGGGGAAAGCTTTGAAAGAGATTTAGACTTCAAAGTGATAGTTATAATTTGCATGTCTTAAATTTGTCATACACAAATGATCTGACCACGGACAGCTAATTTCTGTTAGAGATAGTCTACCAAATGCTCTATTACACTGTTTACCCTCCTTATGGATTCAGCTATTTAGTACTTACCAGTTTTTGCAATATTCCTGTTACCAAGTTAACTTGAGCCCTACTTCATCTACCCCTTGGACCATCAGGTCTGAAAGAATATCACAATAAAAGTTTATTATATGCATGTATTTGTTTTTTACTAAACAATACAAGCACATTTTACAGTTGAAAAAAATATTTCTTAAAAATAATTATTCAATAGACTTTTTCCCCTGATGAACATAGTTGGTGTGAGTTAGTCTATTACTGCACATCAGTTCAGATGAAATAAGAAGTGAATTAATTATAATGTGTATGGTCTAGAGATCTGAGAAATCAGTTTATTTTATCCACATTAATCGTTGGAATAGACAACAAATTCTTGTCATGTGTACAAAATGTGTGTAAATAATGGTTTCTCAAGATGAAACATTTTTTTTTTTATTTGTTTCATAAAACTAATCAGTTACTTTGTTCTTGTGAATGCAAGTTTTGAATATTTCAAGCAGAAGTGCAATTATGCATCAGTCTAAAAATGTGCATGGACCATTTAAATCAATTATATTTATATTTTTCTAAATGTTCCAATTTGTGCATGCAGGAATTAGACAGGGTAAAAACTAAATATTTCTGTACTTACATTTTTGTGTCAAAAAGTTAGCAAAATTGATTTTGGATGTCAACCGCTAATAATAAATAAGTATGGTAAATTAAAGCAAATTAATTTTTACGCTTTGAATGTAGTTTGACGATGTCGTAGCTGTTGTAGGTATACCCATAATGCATTTTTTTTAAATATATAATTTTTTATTGGTCATTATGAAAGTGTTGTCTTATCTAAATATAGAACCATTTGTTTTAAAACCAACCACAGGCAAAGTTTTGTGGTTTGAATTCTGTGTACACTTGTAAACTTCTGTGTTTTCTCAATCACAGTTTTGAAATGAGAAGATTCCTCCTCTCTGTATAACAGTTGGTACTGTTTCATAGTACTGCTGGGATATTTCATGTTTTCTTCTATAGTGTCTCTTTCTTGTGGTATCTTTCTTTTGGCTGTGATTTAAACCAAATGTTCTGTTTGAATATTTGAAATAGGAATGCATTTTTGTTTACAACAACAACACACGATTGATAGTAATGTGGTTGTAAGTTGAATTGTAGTTAGATGACCTTTAAGTTAAGTGATAGTTTAGATTATTGTAAAGTGAAACTTAAACACTTAAAAGAAAATAATAGTTACAAAAAAAAAATGAACTGTGATCTTTGGCAGCAATCAATTTTCTTTTACATACCAATAGGACTCTAAACATGGTGTCCATGGTTTGATAACTTTTTTAAAAGATTCTATCATAATAGGTAGCACTTGGTGATCCAGGAATATGTGTGATACAATGTTTTGAATTATTTTAGTGCACAAAATAGATCATTTGTTAATTCAGCAGCAAATGAAATAAAAAACAAAAATGGCACCCTATTAAATCTACAGTTCTTAACCGTGTAATTTTTTATCTTTTACATATCATTATCTGTCTAGAATACATTTTTGTGCACTGTTGATAAATGTGGCAATGAATTTGTTTAAATATTACTATGTAAATAATTATTTAGGATAGAATAATTATTTGATTAATTCAATCTTGTTTGGTTGTTCATTTGACTCAGCAATGTACATGTACTGAAAATTTGTTTTCTTAAATATACATTTTCTGTCATTTCCAAAAAAAAAATTGCTTGTGTAGGATAACTCTCAATCTTCATTTCATTACATTACGCTGCATTTGCATCAGCAATTGAACATTGGAAAATTAAAACATTTTGAATAATGAATAATTGTTTTGTTTTCTTAATGTTTCTTGTTTGGTTTTTCAAGGCTGATGAAGAGTGAAAGACTACTCACAAACATGTTTGCAACCAAAATTTTGATAAGAATATATTTCCTCCCTTCTGGTCCAGCTATGGTGAATATTGAAAGACTACTCACAAATTCGTTTGATAACATTTAGATAACCATATTCCCTATAGTCCTAAACGTTAAATAAGTCTTTATTTAGTTACCTGTTTTTTGTTTATTTGTGGGATGTGGCTATTCGAGTAACTTAAATTTGATCCACTTCTTATAGGGCAATTTTGTGCATGAATTTCTATGACATATATAAATAAATATATATATATATATATATATAGGGGGGGGCAGAGGCGTAGCGACCCTTCTCGGGGACAAACTTTCGATTTGCACCCCCCCCCCCCGCCCCCCCTCGCTACGCATCTGGGGGGGGGGTCATCCATAAATGACGTCACGCTTTTTTGGACGATTTTTACATCCCCCTCCCCTCCAGTCACACATCGTCACAAAAAGCCAGACACCCACCTTCTAAAATGACGTCAATACCTCAGCCTACAACCCCCACCCCCTCAAAATTGCAGTTTAATTTTTCTTAATACGACATTTTTCCAAAATCTTGTCTGAACTCTGTCAACATAGAGTATTTTAGTCAATTCCTTTTACAATTTATTAAAACAGTTTTCCGAAACGCGAAATGGCGGCTAAAATTCGTTTTCTAACATTGCTTATTTATGATGCAAAAGTATGACGGCACACTATCTGAACCCCCTCCCCCCCCCCCCATCACACACCGTCACAAAATTACGGACCCCCCCCCCTCGCCGAGTTTGATGTCATTTATGGACGACCCCTGGGCCAGACGTCTATATATAATTTATGTCACGTCTACCGAAAATTATCTTCACACAACATTTGGTAGGCTAGAAACAGTGTTTCTTCCAGACTTTTTTCTCCGGGGGGGCACTTGAAATCTTCGGGGGGGCGGTAAACTTTCTTCGGGGGGGCGGACACTGTTAAAAGTATATATTTTCTATATAAATTATATAAATTTCATTTCGTTCGGGGGGGCGGTAAAAAATTTTCGGGGGGGCTTCGCCCCCCCGAAGAGATGCCTGGAAGAAACTCTGGCTAGAAATAACAATGTATGCCTAATGGGCCGAACTCTGGTAATTGCTAATAGAATGGTATTAATAGACCTGCTGCGATTTATTGCACAAACCTTTAAAATTTAAAAGGTATTTTTAAATTTAAAATGAAAACAGCTGTTTTTTTAATTATTTTTTTTTTATTTTTAAAAAAGAGTATTGAACATCGATCAATGAATTTAACAATATCACAGGCAGAGTTTCTTCCAGGCATCACTTGGGGGGGGGGGGGGGCAGACTTTCTTCGGAGGGGGGGGGGGGCGAAAGTCTACCGCCCCCCCCCCCCCCGAACGAAATGAAATTTATATAGAAAATATATACTTTTAACAGTGTTCGCACCCCCCCCCCCCCCCTCCGAAGAAAGTCTGCCCCCTCCCCCCGAAAATTTCCAGTGCTTCCCCGGAGAAAAAAGGCTGGAAGAAACACTGATAAGGTTAACTATAATTTTCAAAATTAATTAGCGACCAGCGATGCTTTCGGCTAAATCAAGTCGTCTATCATTTAAATTTAACAGGAGCTGTATTAATCCCTACGAGCTGACCCGCGACGTACCATACGCCGCTATCTAGTTGTTTTACTTCTACTTATCGACAATTCATAATTTGTGAATTCCTCACTACCCCACCCCCTGCCTCCCCCACCCCACCCCGCCCAGTGAAAGCAGCCGTTTACAGACGACAATGAAAATAAAAAGCAGGACTTACTCTCTTCCCTTAGTTTTAAATCGTTTAAAAACTAAATTATCTGCCCCTAATAGCCATCACTTATTCGAACCGGGTCTACTATTGTAAACATTCGGGGTGAACCATAGCTCACCTCACAGGCGGGCGGGGATGAGGGTGGTGGCTAAGTTGCGTGGTGTCTCGTATGGTCTCCATGAAGGGAATTGTATATAGACGAGCCGACCCGCGGCATATCATACGCCGCTATATAGTTGTTTTATTTTCTACTTTTCAGTAATTCATAATTTGTGAATTCGACAGTGCCAATGCTGCCACTGAAAATATCTGCTTTCAAACACTATCAGTAGGTCGTTAAGGACGATACTGCCCTCACCCTCCTTTCCCCCAACCCCTACCCTACACCCCCCCCCCGTGAAAACAGCCTCCTCTTAGTTACCTCCCCTAAGTTTAAAATAGTTTCAAACTAAATTATCTGCCCCTAATAGCCGTCGCTAAACCCGGCTCTACGACTGTAAACATTTAGCGTGAACCACAGCTCACCAGACCATGTAGGGGTGGGGGTGGTAGGGAGCGCGCTTACAACTTGTTTTCTAGCGTCTCCCAGAAGAGAATTTTATATATATATATATATATATATATATATATATATATATATATATATATATATATATATATATATATATATATATGTATAGATTTATATTATGATGATTTGTTTTTATAATTTTGCAAAGGGGAACGACTCAAATAATATTTTTGACCTTATCTCTGCTTGGTTATTTCCGCTTATATTTTAAAAAAATATTTTATTTAAAAATAAGGGGGGGGGGGGGGAAGAGACGCCATAATAAAAAATTATTCTGAATGTTTACAAGCTTTTATTTTACTTCAATTCCGCGTGCTTTTGTACGTATTGCTTCGTCATGGGTCGAAACTTGCGAGCGAAATTTCAGTCAATTCTACCGGGCCGATGTCTTTCAAACTTGACATGTACGCTAGGTGACCGCCCTCAACAATTAAATATGACAAAATTTTGCTTAATTAGATGTATAATTAATTTTAAATTGATGAACATTTTCTTATTTTTGTTCGCTATTTGTCCAGGTTATTATACACTCATTATTAATGTTCATTCAGTGCGCAATTCTTTTTTAAGCGAAGCGATTCTCTTCTATTGACTTTTGATAAAAAATGTTAAAAACGCTTTTCGTTTTCATTATTTAAATAGCCATGTTGTATCATATACTTAATTAAAATAATTTATTATTTCTTATATTTATTAAAACGTTAGTGCTATTACTAATTTTTTTTTAAGCATTAGTCATAATAAACCCCGCGAGGACGTGTAATTTTTTGACTACATAGTTTTTTTTTGGAAGGGCGGGGGGCTGTTTATATGATTACTTTTATGTATTTTGCGATTAATATATTTTTTCCTGCATAGCTAGATTGTCATAAAAAAACAAGTTAATTAAAAGTCTAGTGACATTTATGCGCAATTTCCTTATGTTATCTAAAAATAGCTCTGACGTATAATGCTGGGGTGCGTTCAAGCTAGAAGAACGATCGGTTTGTAGGTGTTTATGTAATTTTAAAATTTGTGCCCGAACGAGAGGATATTTTTGAAAACTTACTTCGGCAATATTGTTCTAAATTATGGCAGGAATCGATTGGTACATGTTTCAAGTCGCTAAGTGGTATGGTTGTCGAGATATGGGCAAAAAACTGCATTTTTCCGAGTTTTTTTGGCTTTTCCGGGAAATACATGAAAGAAACCCGGAATTTTTATGGCCTATGCTCATCCTCGTAACTTGCTTAACATAATTGCTTTTGGAACTAGTCATCGATATTGCTTCGTTGAGGAGGAGATACGACTTAAAGCTGCGGACACACATCCATCCATCCATCCATCCATCCATTCATACATCCAGAAATGACGGGTTAATAAACGCAATTCTCCAGAATGGAAATTGCGCTAAAAACTCTTTAGGTCTAGATTATATCGCAGGTGCTGATGCGCGTTTGGTTTGGCAAGGTAATTTTTTAAGAATGCATTCTGAAAAAAAAATGCATTGTGATTATTTGTACTTGCATTAATATATTTTACAAATAAATGATAATGCAATCTTTAGTAGAACTAGAATCTATATCTAAAAGGAGTTATAACTATTATATTAGGATTAGGGGGTTTGGGGTTGTCCATGTCCTATAAAATGTGGATTTCAAATATCTTTCCCATCGCTTTTTATTAATTTGACTACATATTTGGATTAATCATAATAAACCGAATACATTTAAAAAATTAGTAGATTCTATTTTGAATTGAAATTTTAGGTCCGCTCTTTTATTTTTATTTTTCATTTATTTATTTTTTTTTACAAGGCCATATTTTTATTTTAGACGGAAGTCGATCTTTGAACACAGGAACACAGTTACCACCCTTCAAGAGCAAGTAATAACGTGACGTACTTCCTTTTCAGAAAGTAACTTGCAAAATGGTGAGCCTATGCATTATCTTGTTGTCGAAAATCTATTTCAATCGACTTTCATAGTCATTTTTTTCTTACTAAATTTCTTGATATATTTTAAATAATGCCTTTTACTACATTTTCAATCTTCAGGGTATCGATATCTGTCACAAATATGACAGAAAGGTCCGTAGGACTGAACCCAAAAGCCAGGATATTTATCTACGTTTGCTGGTGAAGGTAAATAATGTGTAGAATCTTAGATCTATTTATTAATGTTTGAATCAAATTGAACATGCTCCTCTACCTTTGGAAAATAATTCACTATTTGTGACGCTGAATGTTACTTTTGATTAGTTGGGAACATTATTATAATATTAAAAAGTTAAGAAATTGAGCCGATTGCAGGCCTTTTTAATTTTTTTTTTTTTTTTTGAAAGTGGGGTGGTGGATCCCTGCCAAATCCTAATCATATCTTGTTTTGCATTGGATCATTAATGAACTTCAGCTATGTTGTACTGCTGTCTGTAAATATTTTTTTTAGGACTATCCATAGATCTAATTGTTTTTTAAAACATTTCAGCTTTACAGGTTTCTTGCAAGACGTACTAACTCTAATTTCAACAAAGTGATTTTGAAGAGGCTGTTTATGAGCAGAACAAATAGACCTCCCTTGTCTATTTCTAAATTGGTAAGCCAATAGTTCGTTTTAGGCCGATTCTAGCCAGAAAAAGATAACACACTTGTGCAATGGAGAGAAACTACGACTTGCCTTGGCGGCGATGTTTCCGATGGTACTGCGCATGCGTGTGTTTACAACAGCAGAACCCTAACCTGTTTGTTTTATCATGTTATCTATAGGCTTTTCGATGTTTTTATACTAACCTCATTTTACTTAATGTTCCAAATAACAAAGTATTGTTTCCCGGTCACATAACCAGAAGTTACCTCCAACCCTGAAGCGTCATGCTTCTGGGTTCTGCATGGATAACCCTTGTAAGGATACAATCTATGAAAAATGAAACCACTGCTTATCTCGCTAAATCTTTTCATTATTTGAATGGGAGACTAAATAAATGAATCTTCTGCCTTTCTTTGCCAAAAACTTAGTCGATTAGTCCTAAAGTGAGAATAATTCTTTCTCTTTAAAACCTGAACAGCCTGCTTAATTTCTAGTGCAGTAGTTTGTCATCTCAATGCAAGATGCTATAATATATAGTTGCCTTATTGATGACAAATATAGATTTCCCGCTTTTGCCAAAATGTGCATGATTGTTACTGTTCCACAATCTCTTAATATAAGACCTTCAATTTTTCAAAAGATAAACTATTGCTGCAACTAATTTAAACCTTATCTTTTAACCCTTGGATATTATATTGGTACTGTATAAATATGGATCACTTGTATTTTAGGCCCGCTTGATGAAGAAGGAAGGACGTGCTGACAAAATCGCTGTGGTTGTTGGTGCTATCACAGATGATATCCGCATTCACAGTTTGCCCAAGCTTAAGGTATTTTATGTTGTTTTGGTTTTTTTTTAAGCTAATTCGGTTTTTGTCTTAAAGTGTTTATTTTTATTTGTTTGTTTATTATTTTATTTTTTTTTGCAGGTATGTGCTCTTCGCATCACTGAGCGTGCTCGTGGACGTATCCTCAAGGCTGGAGGGGAAATCTTGACCTTTGACCAGTTGGCTCTTCGCTCCCCTAAAGGCCAAAACACTGTCCTCGTTCAAGGTAAACCCAGGGAAATTTTTTGCATTGTATTACTGGCATTTGGCCATTTACAGACCGGTCATACAATTTTACTTTCTGTAACGCCACCTAATTTTCCATTCAGCGCACTTTAAAGACTTTTTAATTAGCCATTAAAAAATTATTAAAAGCAGCGTACAGCAGAATTATTCAGGTACTAACTCCTCTGTTACTGTGTGTAATTGAACTGTACATCATGCAACTTCAGGGGGAATGATTAAATATATGTTTTAGGCAGTCTTTATAAAAATTATGTACTATCTTTTTCAATAGGTCCCCGCAAGGCTCGTAAGGCATACAGACATTTTGGCTTGGCTCCTGGTGTTCCACACAGTCACACTGCGTAAGTAGTATTTATATTAGTTGCAGGGGTGCCACTTTTCCGGGATATCCCGGATTTCCGGATTCGAGAATCATATTTTTTTCCCTTTCCGGATTCGCAAGATTTGAGTTTGAAAATTTCCGGGTTTGCAGTTTAAAAAAAAATTTAGATCGTTTTAAGCTTGAAAATTTTGGCATTGTAAAAATTGTTTTTTATCATCAACACTCCCGCTAATAGCCTTTTCCGAAAAAAAATAAATAGTAAATGACGTCAGCAACAATCTCACGCGTGCGCCAAGGACCAAATAAAAATCAGCTGTATCAGATGGGTGAGGCTGTAGACGAAACTTTTTGATGTCATTCGTGGTGTGGCTGTCTGGCTATTTTTTATGACGATATGGGTTGGGGGTAAAACTCGTATTATTTACGCGATGTCATCAATGGGATACCGCTAGGCTGTGTAATAAAACAACTAAATTCTACAGTTACTAGATCTAGCTCACTAGTATCGCCGATTGTCTTTTAAAAAAAACAAAGATTTTGCTCCGATAAAAAAAAAAAATTTTTTTTTGTATTTGGTATTACAAAAAGAAAAGAAAAAAATCTATTTGGAGGACTATTTTATGTATGAAACAGAACTGTGCTGTTTTCACTCAACTTTACCGTCACTTTTTACCACCTCGTACCCGCTTCTTCAAGGTCGCGCTGACCTTAAGACCTACGTCACGAGACCACGTGAACACAATCTGAGTCTCGGTTAAGGCAGTTCTACAAGTACAACCGCTGTTTAATTTTAACGTGGTTATTTTTAATTCAAGAAAAAAAATTAGATCTGCATCGTTTTATATCAGTAAAAAAATTATGTAGGCCTGCTATAATTTAGTTACACGATCTAGCAGGGTCTACATCTAATTTTTTTTTTTACTTTGGTAAAACGTCATTGAAATGTTTAAACAACCTTGAAAATAGCCGCTATCACTGCCCCCCCCCCCCCCCCCCCCCCCCAACCGCTTGTAAAAAAAATCAGCTTTTCACTTAGTCGGGCGGCTACATCTCTGACATGAGTATTACTAGCGTAGTTACTTCTAAAATTATCATCATATATATCAAAGGTGGGGGCATTGGGGTCGTTCATAAATGACGTCACACTCATAGGGGGAGGGGGGTCCGTAATTTTGTCATGAGGGGGGGGGTTCAGATGGTGTGACATCACACTTTTGCATTATCGAAAAGCTATGTTAGAAAACTAATTTTAGCCGTTATTTCGCGTTTTAGAATATTGTTTCAATAAAGTGTAATAGGAATTGATTTAAATACTCTATGTTGACAGAGGTCAGACAAGATTTTTGGAAAAATATCGTATTTTAAGAAAAATTTGACTGCAATTTTTAGGGGGGGGAGTTTAGGGTGAGGTGTGACGTCATTTTAGAGGGCGGGGTCTGGCTTTTTGTGACGATATGTGACCGAGGTGAGGTGGGAGGTAAAAATCGTCAAAAAAGCGTGACATCATTTATGGATGATCCCATTGGTGTTGATTGGGAAAACAGGGTTTAAGGTTTTTGTTGTGGCTGTTAATAATTAAAGCCTTGAATAGCTACAGTAAGTCAACCCTGTATTTTAATACAGTGGCAATCTTATTAGGGGTCTGCATATAGTGGGCTTATTATTCAATAACAAGACATAGAGGTTAGCAAAATATTTGTTACTTAACAGTTGGCTGACTACACACTTTAACTCAAGCTAGGAAGTTCTAAAAAATTAAATAGTTATGTTATAAAAGCTGTCTGGGGGGGGGGGGAGTTCTACAATAGCACATTATGGGGTAGGCCTAGAGATGGGAGTAACATTGTAAACTAATTTTGTTGTAAGCACAATCCTTTAAAGATTAATTTTTATTTGAAGCTTGTTACAAAGAAAATAAATCCATTTTAAAGACATGTAAATTGAACATAATAATATATGAATCAAATGTCACAAAAAATAATGAAATAACAGTCCATTTTATTTTGAAATTCCGCGCGGAATTAAGTTTCAGGGTTTCAAAAATTTCAAATTTTAGTTTCAGGATTGGTAAAATTTTGGGATTCATTTTCAGGATTCACTTAAAAAATGAGTGGCACCCCTGATTAGTTGTAACTATTTTGATATACCTAGCTGTAATTAATCTTCAGGTTTGTGTAAGCTAGCTTAGGTCATAATATATTTGTTGCAATGGCTTGCAGACATAAACTTTTATTGCTTAGGAGAAAGTAATAACTTCTGCTTTAATACTTGTATTTTTCTTCACAGTCCCATTGTTCGTTCCAAGGGTCGCAAGTTTGAGCGTGCTAGAGGTCGCAGAAAGAGCAGAGGTTACAAGGCATAAGCTCATCCTAGTATTGGCTTTTACCTGGAGTACACTATAAGTTGTTTGATTAAACAAGTGAACTGTCAGTTTAAATTTTTTTGTTTTATTTGTATGGTTGAGTTTGTTGCTGGTTTTTATACTTTTGCCTTGGGTATTGTGATCCAACTCTCAATGAAGCCTAAGCGATACACTGAAACGAACATGCTGCCAAATGGGAATCTTTATGTGTATGTTAATCCTATCACTTACATTATTATTTTGGCAAGAGAATTCCTAGTTCTTTTTAAACTCAACTTTATACTCAGCACAACTTATTTTCCATTAAAAACCCCAGATGCTTTTAGAAAAAATGTAAGGGTACCATGTCATGGTAAGTTTTATTTAACACTAGATTTTTTTTTAGGTAAAGTTTTCCTAGGTGGTGATTCCAAAATGTACATTTAATTAGCTTAGCCTAGTGCAGGGTTCTGCAACCTTTTGAGACGGAAGAGCCAAAGGTTAGAATTTCTAAAATTTCCCAGTTTTTAAAGGGCCACTAGCATAATTTTTTTTTCAATATTTTGCTATTTGATAAGGATCAGGTATGATAAAACTAGTAATCAAATAACTATACGTTTACCTCCGTCCAATTGAGAAGCCAATAACCTTTTTTCACCCAGGAGGTGTCTCCTGTTAAGCAAACTCGTACTGACTGGTTTTGGTTTGATTACTGTATGGGTCTGTCTGTTCTTAGGTTCTCACAGGGCTTATCTTTCACCCTTCTGGAACTCCAGTATCTAGCTCAACTGTAGGAAACTAATAACTATAAATAATAATACATTACTCAGGTCAAATGCATACTGGCTGGTAGAGGAATGCTTTCTGAATAAAATAGCATTCTCCATTTAATGATATTCGAAAAAGTAGGCAGTGGCAAGCATGGAACAGTCGTCACGTGGCTGTCCATAGCACAACTGGTTTTCCGTATATGCTCTACTTCACGTATTCTCAATGTTCTCTGATGTGCTTTTATCCTGTTTAAGTTGCTTTTCTTTACAGTACAATTTTTTAAAATGAGTTTTGAAAGTAAAATAATATAATTACTACTTGCTCGCGAGCCGCAGGTTGCCGACCCCTGGCCTAGTGTTGTCTGCTACAGGTTTCTCACCAATTTAGATAGTAAAAAATGCTAAGAAAATACCATTTACAGTTGCCCTAGCTATTTGCATTGTTTTGTAGTACTTTGTAGACATTGGCCATCAGATTATGTAAAAAAAAGTTCTAAAATTATAATACAAATAGCAACAGGACAATAATCCACAATAAATTTGGAAGAGATCAGCAGAATAGGCATCTAGACAAACAATAACATTGTCTCTTACAAATTTTATTTAATACTTGGAAAATATCTTTATAAATAAAGGCACATGTGCATGTTTCACATTGTGATTTCATATAAAACTACATTTTTAGTCTAAATTAGCTAGTGAAAAATTTACATATCTAACATTGTAAAGACATACATGCAAAAGGCAGTATAACTATGTACATACATATGCAAAAGTATAGTATAATGGAATGGGGGAGAATAACACAAAAATTAACTAGTAAAACAACAAATCTGCATTTACAAGTTACATATAAATATTGTAAATTTATTATCAAATATTTGTGTACCAACTTAAGTAACTCTGTAGGGATTACTGAATAGCCATTACTCTGGCTAAACCAGGCAAAATTTGTCCTTGAATTGGGCTTGGATCAAATCTTTCACCATCAATCATTATGTTGCCACTTGTAGTGCTGGGCTCTATCCGAAATGCTAGCACCTTAGCACTTTCAACATAAGGTGAGTGCACATGGCCGCCTTGACCGAAAGACAAAAACAATTTCAACAAGCCAGCTTTTGAAATCCCTTCCCGGACCATCATCAAATGAATGACCCCATCTTGCAGGTGTGCATCTGGTGCTGCCAGCATGTCGCTGCCCAGGTGGGTCTGATACACAGCCGCGGCCAGGATGAAGTCTCCCTCAAACTTCACCCAGTTGTCTGGTACATCCTGGTCTAAAGGTGGTAAGAGAGGCGTGGGGAATGGCGCGTAGTCAGACTTCTTGCAGTGGTATCTTTCTTCCTCAACTACTATTTCTTGTTTTTCAGATAGGATGGTCATGTGACCACTTTCTACTGAGCTAGAGTTAAGAGTTGTTGCATTCTCAGTTTTTTCTTTCTGTTGTGTTGTTTGCTGATTAATGTTTTTATCCCCTTTTGGTTCCAAGGCACCATTTAATGATTCCACCATAGAAACAATTTTATCTTTATTTAACTGGTCAGCATCTGAATTGGTGGATTCAGTATCGTTTTTATTATTATAATTTGTTACATTATTTCCTTGCTCAGACATATCAGCACCAATGTCCATTTCTTCCTTATTCAAACTGGTCTTGTCGAATACATCCTCAGTTACCATACTCTCATCCACAGAACTTCCAGAAATTTCTTTATGATCCCCCCTGTCCAGTTTGGCATCGCCTAAATACATCTGGCGCTCGCCATAGGCACTGTGGTCCATACTGTAGCAGCGCTGTTTGGCTACACTTTCTGTCGAGTCATTTGTGCTTTTACTATTACTGCGACTCCTAAGGGAGAACCTGCGGATTTTTGTTAGCACTTTCTTTGAGTTGCCTGTTTCTTTTGGATTGTATTCTGCAACTGGTAAAAATGAAACACGACCTCTGTATGTGCGAAGGCCTAAAATAAAAAAAAAACATCAATTCAAATAAACTACCATCTTTTTTTGTCCAGATATTTTCATTTTCTAAAATCTATCAGCATATATGAACATTTTTACATTAAAATGTATAGAGTATATTTTTATAAAATACTTACTAAAAATTCTATTAATAGCTCCTATTGTAAAGCGGGCTTCCCCTAGTTTTCTATACTTTTCACTCTCATAGTCTATGTCAGCCATGATACCCCATGTCACTGATAGGAAAGAAAAGATGGTCTGATTGGGAATGTGTACAGCAACAAGGTCCATTGGAATGACTTTGTGTTTGGTTAAGACAAAGGTGGAATGAAGAACCATTGATGCATCCAACGGTTCCCTGCAAACAGAAAAAAAAACATTCAAAGTTCGACACAATGTAATCTTTATTTATGTAAGTATAGAATTACTGATAAGGCATCTGTGACTCTACACCAGGCTATTTATTTTGAAGAGTAGTTGGAATAGAAAAATTTTTATACAAGAAAACTTTTCTGCTCCATCCTCACTACTATTTTCCTATACTATTATAATAGTGCAGAAAGACATCTAAATTAAATAGAATGCAATCCTTCCTTTTTACACTGATCTCATAAAAGATTATTTTTATACATTCATAAACAGATCTAACTTCTGAAATTTATTTTGTTCAATTCAAGATATCCAATTCATAGTGCTCCAGTTTAAGCAGGTTTTACTGAATAAATATCTCTTGTAAACTGTATTACCCTGCTGCATAGTTAATGGCACAACACAGAGCATTGCCTGATCCACCAGGCAGACAGCCCACTGGAATCTTAATGGCAGATGCCCAGTCATCTCGCTGCATTATTCCATTTATAGTCTGAGGAATGTTAAAAAGGATCAAAAATATTTTAATGACATTTCTAATAAACAATTAACCTCTGCATACAAAGTGTATGTCTGGCTAGTACTACTATGCCCTTTACATTTACTTCAATGTGAGAAGACTACTACTAAGATGACTACTACTAACTCTTTAGCCTAGTATATTGTAAAACTATGAGAGGCATGTAGTCCATATTGTAGAAATATAAGAGACATAAAAAGATGGAGTTTAAGCCTTCAGATATTAGTTGGTACTGTAACAATATATCATCTGAGACAAATCAATATTATAATGAGAAGTTTAAATCTCAAATATCAGCTATTATTCTTAAAATACATCATTTCGAAAGACAAAAGAGTGAAAAGTTCAGACCTCATATATTAGCCCATCTCCTGAAACAATCACTACTCCATACCACTCTGACAAATTTATTTCTTTTATCAACTCACTGGCATGGCCTGCATGGTCTGTTAACATGAACAAAATATTTTTTTTGCTTAATCTGTTACTTTTTTTTACAAATTTAAAACAGCTTAAAAATTATTGCTTTTTAAAATACCGAAACAATGGATAAATACTACATAGTTCTAATGCTGTTTAAATTGTTTTTTCATACTTCTCATTTTTTTAAAAATGTTATGATCATCAGCAGCATTCAATTGATAACTATATATAGATCTACTTCCATTACAATAAAGCTCACGTTCCTTCAATTTTATGAAAAAAATATTTCGAAACCTGCTTTTATGTACCTGTAATGAAAGCCTTGTATGGAATGTCTGCCTCAAAGAGCATTGGCACAATCTCTGTTTTAAAGATGATGTGAGCCTTGCCAGGCCCACTGTGGGGGTTGATGAGAAAGAGAAGCTTTCCTCTGGGTGGGGGCACACTGTTTGGAATGTCTTTTCATAAACAATAACATTTGTTAGTTTAATAAAGCTTTTTGTTGCACTGACAAAATATACATAAAATGAAATATGGTCAGCTCTAATTTGAAACTTAACTAGGGATGAAAAAGCAGTGTAAACAATGAAGCAGATATATTTATGGAGAAAATAAAATGCATTCATACACACTGTATAATAAAATGTAAAGTAAATTTAAAACAATTTCTGTTTTGAAATTTAAAAGACACAATGAATGGTTTATTTTTTTTTTTAAATAATGAAGATGTAGGTCTAAGGTAAAAACAAAATAGCAAATTATAAGCTTAGTGGGTTTGTATTACACATTAACCTTCTTGCATTAACTTGTGTTTTAATTGTTGTAATGCTTGATTAGTGTGGGTTGAGGAAAACACTGGGTAATATCCTGATAGTGGGAACACTAACATGCAAATATTGTCACCATAAACTACATTTTCTTTAATTTCTTTTACTAGTTTCACTCAATCATTTCAGTTTAAATAAATTGGGAATGCAAAATTGCAATTCTGGCTAATTTTTTTTTACTCCAGCACTGTGAGGGATGTTGTTTAGCGGACATGTTAACTCTTTAAAACAAAGATGGGAACAACTGACTTTTGCCAAACCATGCTGTATACATATATACCAAGTGATAAAATAATAATGTGTATTGTTAATGATGATTAATCACAGTGAATGGCTTAAAAATGAAAAAGTTATTACGGATTAGATTTGCATGCATCTATAAAAAGTATTTTTTTAATTTTATGATTGTAGAGCTACCATAGTACTTTTACAAGAGAGGTTTGAATTACACAGCATCTATATAAAATGCATTACATACTCTACTTTGTTATAAATGATTATTATTATCCTATTGAAATTTAAATTTTGCATAATTTAACTAAACGAAATGGAATACAACAGGGCAGGTTTCATAGGAGTAACACATGCACAAGATTCTTTTTAATGCGTTGCTTACGGCAAGAGATTAAGTCCAAAACAACAAATAGACATGGAAAAGCTAGACTAATAATTTTATCTGATTAAAATATAGCTATTTTTACAAATAGTAACATAAAAAAAGTCCTAAAATATTTGCCGTAAGAGACTTTGTTATAGAAGACAACATGCAGTTTATATGTTTTCATGTCAGTCTTCCCACCTTGAGTGAGAACATTCATCATTTTCTGACTGTAATTATGTATGCGCAAATGTTTCAAGACTGAAATCCACAACGATATGCCCTGAAAGATAAGTTACTTTTAAGGATTTATTAAGTGCAAACTGTGATTAAATATGTATCTAATTGTTTATGTTACTTTCTAAATATTAACTGAAAAATAAAGTTAAGGGATTTAATTTATTTAAAAAAATTGTCAACTACTTCTACAGTTTAACACACTAATTTTAACATTTTTAAATCAGAAAAATGAAATTTAAATAACTGAATGAAAGCAAGCAGGTTGAGTAACGCTTGGTTAGCATTAACATAATAAAAAAAAATCCTTCAGGCCTTCATGTGCTGGTTCAATAATATACATGTAAACAACTGAATGCAACTGGCTGTTTTTTTTTTTAAATTAAAATTTAAATGTTTCCTTTTATTAAAAAGGCTACTTTATCTGTATTTTATACATAGGTCTGCATTGATACTTTTTAAAATAAAAATCTACTTTGTCACACTTTGTGTATAAAAAAAGTTATGTAAATTATGCTGTAGAGACTTGCATTGCAAAATACAGCTCTACAATACAATTGGATAGTTTTTTCAAGTAGCATCAGATAGCCTATCAGTTATAGTGACATTTTAAAATTATTAAAATTGTATTTGTTATAAGAAATTAGAAAAAATGTGCAATAAATAAAAATTTAAACTTGATCAAATGCAAGATTGGGAAGGGGTGGTTACAAATTTGTAATGTTGTATCTTCAAATAAATGTTGATTAATATTTAAAATAATTGCTCAATCACAACTAGCTTTAAATTAAAATGAATGACATTTTGGCCAATTAATTTTTTTATTATTAAATGTACTTATATTCAAAAAGTTTCCTAATTCAATATCTGTTTAAAGTTTGAACATCTGCATTTTATTATAATATTAAGTAATTCATTAAAGTAGTAGATACATATTATTCACTGTTCCTTTGTGTGCAGAATAATTTAAATTATTAATTTAGAAAAGGGATTCTGATTAGATCTAAAAAGAAAGCAAGAAAAAAATCAGTTTAAGCTGCCTGACATGATTTATGGGCATGGTCAACCCCTTACAATACAAAGTGACTTTGTTAATCACAAAAAAATGATGTGAAGGTAATTTTAAATTAATAATATTAAATCAGTAAACGTTTACTGGTAGGTTTAACTTAAAAATAACGTACAGGCCTAACTAGAAAGAAGAATAGATCTAATTTTTTTTTAAATATTATGAAAAATTTAAGATAAGATTAAGTTATTAAGTCATTACGATGGATTAGATAGTCACGAGTAGACTGGTAGATCTAGCTAGATCTATTTCTACAAACAAATCAAAAGTGTAGAATCTAGATTATATATTATATACCATCTAGTGTTAAAGGTAAATCCCTTGCTAGGAAATTAATCATGTTTTTCCACTTTTCTGCCTCTTTTCTTTTCTCATCTGTGTTTGTTGCAGCTGAGGAAATTTCTAGTGCCAAAACTTGGCGACAACGAGTTCTTTTGTCAGAAAACATTTTTTTCTTGAATGGATATGCAAAAATAACAATGCCACACGCTTCAGAGCCACAAACGAATTGAAAGTGTTGTCCTGGAAAATTTAATTCTTCTGTCTGATCGTTGGAATACGCGGAAATTTTGCTTGCAGACAAGCTTTGCAATGTAACTCCAGGAAGCGTTACATTTTTTCTCGAATCTAGAATATGACAACCTATAATGTCGCTGATCTGAATGCATTTTTCTTCATAAACACTGCCATTATACGAATCGGGGCTATAAAAAATACGACGACGTGTGAGGGTAACTTTATGTAGTGATTTTTTCTTTGCAAGCAAGAAAAAATCCCCGTTCAAGACTACACCCTCATCACTAATAGACGCCATTTTGAAGCCAAGCAAGTCATGTGACCAAACATCAGCCACGTGATCTGCTTGGTTATTTCTCGCTGTTAATATAAACGCCCCTTTGGCATTATATACTTAGGGGCATAAATGACGACACACTTGTAGTCTTTGTAGTGGGGAGTGGGTAATATTGTGACGGTGTGTGATGAGGAGGGGGTGGGGTGGTTCAGATGGTGTAACGTTACACTTTCGCATTATAAAAAAAAGTAAAACGCAATGTTAGAAAACGAATTTTTACAATTATTCCTCCTCCCCCCTCGGAGGCCAAAATGAAATTTTGAAAACACATATACCAGTGTCCGCCCGCCCATCCCCCCCCCCCCCCCTGGTAATGAAAATTATCAAGTCGTCGTCCCCCCTTCCCCATGTTGAGGTCTGGGAGAAACACTTCATTTAGATATTCAGTAATTCAGGAACTCCATATGATTTAGTAAAACAGCTGTACTTCTGTCATGAAAGACTAGTCATCTTATAATGGAAATAGACCAGAAATGCTCATCATTAGAACATAAAATCAAGACAACACACAAGGTTACTTTATATAGTGAACTACTTTTATTTTTAATCGATAGTATATTGTATAGATCTACATGTAAAAACAAATTTAGTTAAAATACTATGTATACAAAAAGTTTTGACATTGTAACACACAGATAATGCTTTTTAAATAACTTAGTTATAAAACTTTTTTCACTCACAAAAAAATTAAAATAGCATTACAATCATTTCATTAACCAAAATGCTATTTCGTTGTTTGAGATTGCAGATATTTCGAAAATATAAATATCATTTTACAAAAAAAAATTGGTATGCAAACGCAATGAAAGAAAAACTTTTTAAACTGTACTTTTTGTATATTTTTTATGTAAATAAATTATCTTTAACACAGCGGATTAAAAAAATATCCATAAATTCTAAAAATTTTACATTAAGATTTACTATTTTAAAAAGATTTATCCTCTTGATGCATACATTTTTGTATCTTTAATATCATATTTAAAAATGAACAAATGCACAAAATAATATTGAGGTTTAATATTCATTAATATAATTTCTTCATGTTACATTACATCTCTAAGTGAAAAATCTTTCCAAACAAATAAAATAATTTATCTTATTTTTAAATTGTAATGCAAAACATGACTGACCAAATGTATAACTACTAAATCTTACTCATTCATTTTCAAGCTAATTGCTAACACTTAAGAGATGTGTGTATGGAATGAGGTTGATTGAAGAGAAAAAAATGGAATGAACCAAGGTAGTAGACTAAAACAAAATGGAATTGTGGGAATAAACACAAGGTTAGTAATAAAATAGGAGTTTTAAAATATTTAAAAAAAAATTTATTTAACATAAACAATTTACTTTTTGATTATAGTTGACAAGCATTAATTATTTTTAAACAGATAACTTGTAATATGCATTTGGTAAAAAAATTTAAGCTCTTAAAAATACAACAATATTGCTGATTAAAATCCTTGTAATAGCAGTTCTAGAACATAGAAAAAATGCAGACTTCATACATTTAAGCTTAGATATGTGTACAAAAGCACAGGGAAATATGTTTTAACATCGTAAAAGCAAAACAACAGACAGGTAAAGGTATAGAAAAATAAGGAATAGGCAAAGTCTAAATAAAAGAATTATATGTACTTAAAAATGAGGGATTCTCTAAAACAAGACTAGATAAGTAATCTCATTTTAAAAGCTTAAGGTAAGACTAATTATATACATTACAAAAACTGTATTCAGTTTGATTTTGCTCAAATAAGAAACACATTTTTGGTGCTCAATGTTTCAGGTAGTTTAACACTTTTGTAAATATTTATAAAATTCTGGTTTATAATATCTTTGGGATATTAGATCTCTATGGTTACCCTTAGTAGTGATTAGGCCTTCCCTTTCTGGCTGCCATTCATTGCAATTTTACCTTAAATTGAAAAAGAAATAAGTCAGATATTTACATTAGATTAGAGGAAGTAACTATCAAACAAAAGTTTAGATGGAAGTTTAAAAATGGTTCTTACTGCAATGTGCACGGCCATTTGTTCGTGTTCCGCCAAGCTCGTTGCCATTGTAATCTACGCACCAGCACTTGAACTCCTTATCTTTTTCACCCTCACACTGCTCTCGCAAATAATATCCTTCTTTGTCACAGCGAGGCATATAGGCTACTGTTAGATAAAAAGGAACACATATACAATTTTATAAAATTTGATGCCTTATTTAACATGATATTGTTTAAAACTGTTAATTAAAAACCAAACCAACTGTTTCTATATTTACAGACAGTGCTTTTTGATCCACTTAATCCATGCTTCTAGAAAAAATTTGGGTTTAAATTTTGATATTATATAGTTATAAAATAGATTTTAAGAACATACCTGGTTCACCTGATTTCCTGACGTCATCAACTTTCTTGAAACATGGTGCAACTGCAGCATTTTAAAAATTAAAAATATACTTTGATAGGTTTCAATTAGTATGCATAGATTTTAATTAGAATATCAATAAAATTACATTTGTTCATTAAAAAGATACCTATCAACAAGAAATGTAATTCTGTGAAAAGTTATTAAAAATGTAAGTAATAATTAATTTGTTAAAAAAAAAGCTATAACAATACATACCAACATTTGAAAAGCAGCAACACCATTCATCACTGCTTAGCTTTTGATCTGCATTTTGATCACAAGATGTAAGATATGGACGCATACAGGGCTCTAAGCTATTCTCTTCTAACATAGACATCTCTGTATCACTTAGACTATCATCTCCATTCTTGTCCATCTGAAGGAATTGCCAGATTGCAGACTTCAAGCACTCACATTTAAAACCTAAAAGATAAAAATCAATTTATAACAGAATCTTTAACACAAAATTTTTTTTAATCAATTATACAAAATAAAAGCAAACATCTGGCTTGGTACTACCATTTTGTTCTACATCCGGCAATCATCTTATATGAATATCAGCATGAACAGAGACAATGTTATGAATTTATCTAAATTTAGTTAGTGTTTTACACAAAAACTTGAACATATAAAACTGTTTAAAATTGCCTTCAGAACATCAACAGTATTTAGAAAAACTGACCATCATATTGTCTGAGTTCCTTCTTCACAGAAAAATGTTTGTAGAAGTGCTTGATGCTTTTCCCAGAGGCCTTCCTGGCATCATGGTCCTGTCCATGTAACAAGTGGAACCAGCCCATCATACGAGTCCTCATTTGGGAAAACTGGGCAGTTGTGCAAACTACAATAAAACCATTTATAAAAAAAAGATGAAGTAGTGGTAGTTTAAATGTAGAGAAAATTTTCTTAAAATTTTTTAAAAATAAAAATATATGTACCATTACCTTCTGGATCAGCTTCAGACTTTGATGGAACATACTTTTGTACCTGAGACTAAAACAAGATTAACAATTATTATTTAGATGATAAACTTCCTCATTAAAATTTTGGCTGTTAGTTTGGAAAATTAAAAAGAAATGTTTTTTGTGTTATTTGACAAATTAAGAGAGCTCTTCAGTAAGACAGGGGAGATAAATTAAATTGGAATTTCCAAGGTTAGTTATCAAATTATTTGTTGTTTTTTTTACCTCCTCCTTCAATTGGTTGGAGTTGTTCTGTTTTACAACTTGCAAGTTTTTGTTGTCTACATTCAGGTCCTGCCCATTCTCTTCAATGTCAAATGGATATCTGTTGTTGGCCTCATGGTTGTATTTTTCTTTCTTAAACTCCTTCCAGGCTTTCATTTCTTTCTTCTGGAATCGGTAGAAGAGCTTCAAACTAGAAAGGAATTGATAACTTGTCAGAAGGTGTTTCAAGATGCTGGTAATTATTTAAATTTCATACATTTTTTCCCCTGAAGCAGAATTTTAAAAGTTATAAATCAGAGGGAACTCTTTTAATATATTTTATGACTTCTGGTATAAAAAAAATTGTATACAAATAGATGAAATATTAAAATAGAAATATAAAATATATCTTATTTCGCTTTTAAATTTTTTCAACCTGAAAAAAATTAGTATTTAGTGTAACTTGTGAAATCAAAAAGCTGAAACCCTGTACATGCCCTTGATGCCCCAGATGTTGAAAAAAACCCACATATAAATTTTTATCAGGTAACCAAAGTTGAAGTTGAAATTTTAGATGCACACCTTTTCTTCAAGTCTTTTTTGTTCACACAAATCGGCTTGGAATCAATAGGCCCAACAATACAGACTTCTTTATGTTTGCATTCAATTTCACACTCAGAACCTGTGATAAATTGAACATGTTACTTGAAATATTATTTCTAAGGGTCAATGTTTTTAAGTGTATTTAGTTGATTTATATAATTCTTAATATTTTAAAAACCGTTTAACCTCTAGTTAAGCCTTATACAGAAGAATAACAAATACATTTTAAACTGAAACTTTTAATTTGTGTAACTGATGGATTTACTGAAATTTAACCCAGGCCTAAACCATCTCTCTTATTCTTAACACAGTTGCTTCCCTGTCTCAGGCTTCATAGGAAAGTAGGCCTATCTCTTTAAATAATTAACATTACATTAGACTAGAGTTAGAGAGTGTAGTTTATTCTGTTGAAAATACCTGTTTTAACATTCAACCATGCCATTTGGTTCTTGTGATCAAACTGAAAAATCCATTAATATTAATAATCATTAATTTTGTTTGGTAAAGATTATAGTTATAGGGCAAATATAGGGGATAGATTACCCAAGATAAATGATACAAATTAATTAAATTATAACATAGATCTAGATCTAGTTCACTTTATAGTTTATGCTTTATTTAATATTTATTAATATTATTAATTATTTATTTAGATTTCAGGACTATTGACATTACAACCCTAGGCCCTAGGCCTAGTCTAGGTCTAGTACTAGACCATATTCATAATGTCAATAGGCCCTAATGATTAAAAAAATTGAAATACCATTCTTGTTCTGGTATTCTCAATCCAATTATCTAGAGATATTAGTATAGTATATACTATATAGATCTAGATCTAGTATAGGGCCTATAGATTTATTTATTTTTACCTTTCCCTTTTTGCCGTGTTTGTTCTTTTTGTATTTCTTCTTATAACGAGGGCCATAGTGAATGTCCATTTTGGCTTCATCATCGCTGTCAGTACTCGTTATCTCGTCGTCATCATTTTTGCCTCTATTTAGATTCTCCTCTAAGTCGAGCTGTGCGAGCTGCTCCGTTATCTTCTTGCGTCTCCGTTCCTTCTTTCCAGCCTCGGCTAAACAGAAAAAACAGATAGCAACGGCGAAGATTAGCACGTACAAACGCATTGTTACAACTTCTATTCCCTCTCTGTAAAATATAAACTCAACCAATCCTCCCGACAAATCTCATCCAATCTCAGTAACCCGGATTTTTATATTTAATCTTTATTTTTAGCATAACATTAATAAACAAAAGAGCAGGTTTCTTCTTGTGAAGTTAGTCTGATATTGTTTTTATTTTATTTTATAATCAATATAATTTCTTTTTAAAGTTCATTGTTTTAAAATGTCCCTATCTTAATTTATTTCAAAAAGTCTAAGTGCTAAATCTGGATAGTCTAGCACACCCCAGAGTTTAAAAAAAAAAGGAAAAGAAGAGAAGCCAGGGGTAAAATGTGTTATGCCCCTTGATACATCTATTAAAAGCCAAAAGTAAAATCTCTGAATATAACCGTGGATCATTTTTTTATAAAAATTATATTAAAGAAGAGTTAAGTAAAGTAATTACGATATTAAATGGACTTGGAATAAAGGCAATATTGGAATATCCGCACTTCTACACCATACTTGTAGTATTTTCATACATAATTAAGCACACCAGCCTTCCTCATCTCTAACTTGTAGCCTTACAACTGCCCTCTGAATAATGGATAACTGTATGAATATGATGTAGGCCTGATTGTAGTTTAGTAGTTATGTTATTTTTCTTTATTATCAATTTCATAGTTGTTTTTTTTTCTCTAGCAGCTCATTGTTTAACCTGTAGGCTTAATTATAGGCATATAGCATACTTAAGTCTTTTTAAGTTATTTTTCAATCTGTAGTAAATATATCATCGAATCCATCAAATTAGTAGGTTTGTAATTTAGAAAAGGGGGGGGGGGGGGTCATCCACAAATGACGTCACGCTTTTTGACAATCACATTGATTACATATCTTCACAAAAATCCAGCTCCCCCCCCCCCCCATAAAATGACGTTATTTCTCAACCTACAACATCCCTCAAATGTATTTTTTAACATACGGTATATTAATCAATTTATGTTACAAAGTACACACTACATGACCTCCCTCCCCTCATCACAAAGTCCGATCCCTCCCTCCCCCCTGACATATGAAAAGCCCGTGAAGGAGTAGTGCAAATAACAGAACAAAATATTTGTAAAGCGAGCTAATCCAAATAGAATTTCAACTGTTGAAATATTGCTGGTTACATCCCATTTTAACACATAGGAAATGTGTTTAAACGTTTTGTTTAGTACTAGACAATGCCGATGCTAATTAAAAACATATTCCACCTGCCCTTTCTACGCCCAGGTTCAGAAGGGTAACTTAATTAGAATAAAGTTACTAAAGTAAAACATTGAAGTTAATTAAGCTACTTTGTAAAAACAAAAAGATGAGACATAAGAAGTATTTAATCTTTTATTCTTCACTAATCTTTAGATATTTGTTGTTGTTTTTTTATCTCATCAATATTTAGATATGATATATAATTTTTATATAGTTTTGCCAATAATATTGGCTATGTGGAAATAATTTCAGTATTTTTTAAAGCTTTAATCTAGATCTTCATCAAAATATGGAAATTAATTATTAAAATAATCAGATCAGAGTGAATTATAAAAAAGTGTTTATTTATTTAAACTTTGTCATATTTTATTACACATAGATTCAGCAGTGTTCCTCATAGAAGTTTTGCTTTTACTTTAAGCTTCCTGGTTCCAATTCTCATACAACTAAAATATCATTTAGGGTGATTCTATTTACAAACATACAAACAAAAGTAAACATGACTATAACAGCATTAAAAGTCTTAAAACTTCAACTCTAGTGTTAAAGTAAAAGACAAAGATGACACTATAAAAAATATAGACAAGAATAAAAGTTTGAAATTTTTATTGAAACAAAAAGCCAGAGCTGTGTACATAGAATCTGGTATGTAACAGGACTGAAAATACTGAACACATTTAACAGCCAAATTAGTTTTCTATAGTAAAACCAAGTGAGAGGCAAGTACTTCTAGGGAATTTTGCTATTTTAATTTATTGCATACATTTAATTATGAATATTTTAATACGATTTTTTTTAAATCATTGGCACTAGAATTATGGTCAGTTATCTACAGAAATGCTCCACTTGTAGATTAAATATACCAAATGCACAGACTAACTAATGTTTTTAATTGGAGCAATTGTTAAAAAAATTGTATAGTTTTAATATGGTAGACTAGCTATGCTATTAACAGTCAACATTAGAGAAAGACATTATATTAACTAAGTTTATCTAGAAATATCAATATAAAAATAAGGTAGAAAAATAGAAAATAACTAATATGTACAATTAAAAAAAACTTTTACAACACCTACATTTTTAAAAATTTGAAACAGAAAATCAATATAAATCAATGCCCAACTTAAATTATTTTTTTTGCCTGTAAAAATTTGGAAGTAAAGATTTGTATGTTGGTGAAGTGAATTTTTGGTATTTAAAATGCAATAAATCTACACATAATACCTTTAACTACTTAGCCTCACACTAGGCTTGGTAACAAATAGATTTTGATATAAAAAAGGAACATTCTAAGAAAGGTAGTACACACACAACAATGCTTCAAGATACTACACGCTACGTGTGTTCTTGGCAGAGGGATGGAGAATGCCTAAAGTGGTTAAACTATTAAATGTGACAATTGTAAACAATACACAGACTTAACCACACATAATTATGTCAGGTTATTATGTGTAATGAATTGAAAAATTAAAAAATAATTATTACAAGGATTATAACATTATGAACATTGCTACACACATTAAAATAAGTGTAAGGAGATCATGTTATGAAAAATATCAAATACATTTATCAAAGTTTTTTTTTAAAAGTAGTAAAGAATTTTGAATAATAAAACTTACACAATTTTTATTTTGTTTAACACAAATATTAAAGCAAATTATTTAGAAGCAAACTACTACAACTACAAAAGCTTTTGAATATACCTCACCCAAAATAAAATTCATAAAATTAAAATATACCATTAACAATTAAAATTCATAAAATTAAAATATACCATTAACAATTTAGAAAAGTTAATTTAAAAAAAGAGAAAATTGTGTTTCAAGCACGTTTAGAATAATTCTAAAATAAAAATACAAGCTACCATTTCCAATAATTAATGGATAAAAAAAAAAAGTAAAGTTTCCCTTTCAAACCTGACGGTCTATGGGGCAAGTGAAGTAGAGTTCACTTGTTTCTGTGACCTCGGCATATGAAGAGATAGTGTGGTCAGCACTATGCCCAGCCGCCTTTACTTTCCCTAACGTGAGTTAGGTACCCATCAGAGTTGGGTGGACTCAGGGACGGTCTACTGGCTTGAACCCGGATTCGAACTCGAGACTTACGGGTTAGCAGTCCAGCTCTCTACCGCTAGACCACTCCGTCCCATAATTAATGGATAAATAGGGGAAAAAATGGATTTCAACAGAAATAGCAATAAAACCATACTGAAAAAGGGTTAGATAAAAGACCACCAGGCTCCTCTTAAAACCTTTGAAAGGCTGACTAGGTGGAATGCTCAGTGCATTCATTTTACATTTTTTATATACTGCCAACTGATGTATTACAACACACCAACCCATAACTGCACACCAACAAAATGTTTTATAAAGCCCATTAGTAAGAGATTACAAATAATGTTAGCTTTTTAATTAAAAGCAAATAGCATACTTATAAATTAGGAATTTAAAGTATGATAATCTATATTTGGCAAAACACTGCATATGAAATTTTTGTATTTAAAAATTCTTGAGACGAATAACAGCTAATCCTTCAATTGATATACTATTATTTGTCTTGTATTTAAATAATGTGTTAAAATAAAAAATACCAGTCATATGTACACTATTTACAAATACATTAGAAAAATATAATGGAATACAGAAAAAATGTGGAAATAATTTACAAAATGCAAACACATTGAGCATTTCATCCAAGGATATAAAAAATAAGAAATCTTCTCCTTATGAATTAATTTTTAATGGAAATGGCATTTCTTTGGCTCATTTAAACAGAACAATCATTTGCAAATATTTCAACAATTTTTGAGGATAAGAATTTCAAATTTTGAAAACAAAAAACTCTAAATATACTAAAATGCTCAGTGACATATCACAGCTTCATTTTTTTACAAATATTAAAAAAAGTAAAAGGTGATAAACATTAACCATGAAACTGAAGAGCTTTGTTTAGATTAAAGACTGATGATCTAGCTTAGATGAATATTTGTTTTCAAATGAGACTGGTACTGCTGTTTTCCTACAACTAAATAAGCAAAAAATATTGAAAAATAACCTTGACTACACTAGTTTTTACAGTAACTGAAAGAACATAAAAAGGAATAATGCTCATGAGCGAAAGAATTTTGAAGAGATTAAGTTTTATGTTAGGAGTGTTAATGTGGGATTACGCTAAGGGGAAAGGGGATGTAGGTGCACATGGCCATGCAACTTGAAACTCCCATCATTATAAGCGTCAATAGGCAGTTCTTATTTGAAAGAAATGGTAATTAAATTATGATTGCAACAAAAAATGTGGTTTTAATTTTAACTACAAAATTGAAAAAATAATTTGATTTAACAATGTAAAAAGAACTACAACAATTTTTAAGTAAAACTACTTTAACAATTATGCAAAACTTCAAATAAAAGCTGCATTAAAATTTTGCATAAAAAAAAGAAACGTGAAAAAATTAACAGAATGCATACTCTTTTAATTGCCTGTATATTTGCACTCAAACACTAGTTAAACAGAAGAATGACACAAATGTAACATTATCAACTGTAAATAAATTACAAAAACCAAAAGCAGTTGCTGCTGTCCAGACACAACAGTTCTCCACACACAACACCTCACCCCACACATCATTAAAACTCGTCACTTCAACACTTGTTCACACTCCAAAACCACATCCATTGAGTCAACACCCTGTATCAGTCTGAAGTGGTAGAAAATTAACTCCACATACAACTTGCACAATGATTATAAAGCCCTATTAAAATTCTCAGCAAAAGTATGGGTTAACTAGTTTTTAAACAAAATAAAATATAAAAAGACAATCAGTCTATAACATTTGCCATTTACCAAACAACTGAAGGCACTTAGATACAATCAATAATCATTTAATAAGAGAGGAATGTGATTTATAGAACTAGTGATACAAGTTTAATAACATGAGATTTTATTTTAAAATATTTTCCTGGTATTTTTTAGTGTCCAAATGATTCTATTTAAAATGTGGTGCCTTCTGTAATAGAAAAAACATAAAATACTTTTAAAAACACCATTGTTCATGTGCTAGTTTAAGATAATGTGCAAATGAAAAAAGTTATAATAGTGATGAAACTGCACATTTTCCAGGTGAGCTGATGCACATTTTCCAGGTGAGCTGACTGGTAAACAAGTTGGCTTGTGAACTCTTGTTGTCTTAACTTAATCCATCTCAGCATAGCATTCCTCTGCCAGCATAAAGTACTTGTTGGCTAGTCTTCCTTTCATAGCAGCAGTTGCAGCTTCTGCAGCTTCATTGTACAAGTCACCTAAAGAAAAAACAAGTAAACTTTAACATAGTTTACAAATAAAAAACAGGGATGGCATGGTTGAATAATACGGTGCCTGACTGCTAACCCAAGTCAAGTTTGGAGGATGTCCTTGAGACCCCCCCCCCCCAAGCTGGATGAGTGTTTGACTCGTGTTAAGGGCATCGCCATCACCATGGCAACAGTGTGAAATAAACATTTTGGTTATCTTGGTTTTCCTCAACCGCCCATGCCCTTATGGGAGTAAACACATGCTTTCACTTCATATGCCGAGGTCACTGAAACATGTGAACTCTACTTCACCTGCCCCATGGGCCGCAATTAAAAATATGATGTTAACACTAAATTTAAAATAAAATACAACATCCTAATAACTAAACAATAGTTTACCGGCTTTTTGCAAATCCTTGTCAAGTCCATGGCCACCAGCTCTATACATCTCAGCCTGTTGAGCAAGCAGCTGATGTACAGGGTCTGCCATTGTGGAATCAAATTCCCCACCTTCATCATGGTCGTTTTGTTCAATGGCCTGCTGATAGTAATGTACTGCATCTTCCCAGGAGATAGACCTAGATAAAAAAAAAAAGATTAAAAATTTAATTTGAACACAAAAATAATTCTAAATGAAATAAAATTTACTAATATAATAGTCCAATGCATTAGTTTGCGGTAATGAAGAAGTTGCTTGGGTTATGAAACTTTGGTCCCATATCTCTGGCGCAGAGAGTGGGAAGTGTGTTTGCTTGGCCATATGGTGTGTAACTCAACAGGTTTTTCTGATGATAATAATTTCACCTACTTCTGTGAGCAGAAAGGTAGGTCAATAACCCCAAACTAGGACTATAAGATGCTGATCGAGCAAGCATGACCAATATAGGCAGGATGATGTAAATCAACAGGCTGGAGATTCTGACCATAGCCAAAAAATATGAACTCCCTTGGTATAGGGCAACAAAAGGGAAAGTCACCTCTGTGACCTCCCCATCTATTATAAAAGCAAGCTACAAACTGGGTGATGTGATTCATAGTTGCAACTGTTATTCTGTGATGGCAACTAGCCTTGTGTGAACAACTTAGCTGGTAAGGTTGCAAAAGAAGTTCACAGTAGATAATGTTTTTCACCTTTTAGTTCCTAGATTTTCACCAGTTTCAAACGCCCTGGCCATATAAATCATGGCTGTTCTGTCTCCAGCCTCTGCAGCTTGCACCATGTAGTCAATCCCTAAATCCAACATCTCTGGAGTTTGCTGTAAGCATTAACATCAATATATTGACATTGTTAAATAATTTCTTTTCAAATACAACTTAATTATAATGTTTTTACTTAATACAAAAACAATTTGTAATTACCTGCACAATGCAGTTAACAAACAAGTCTCTCTGAAGACCCAAGTATAACTTTGCCATAGTGATGATTGCCTCCAAGACACCCAGCTGGGCAGCATGCTCTTCGTGAAACAATGCAGACTCCCAGTCTATGATTTCTTCTTGCACAGAAAAACGCCCAATCTCATGATACTTAGCCATTTCATGGTGAATCTGTGATAACAATACAGTTTTAAAAGCAAGATACAATAAAAATTAAAACCACTTTCAAAAACAATACTACGGTAAACAAAAAAGTTCATTAAATTACCTGTCCTAAAACAGAATCTCCTATTTTTAAAGTGTTTGAAATGCGCCTTAGATCAAGTTCATGGCATACAGTAGAGGGTCTGCTCTTCATGGCTTGTGCCTCACTGAAAGCTTTTCTTTCTTCCTCCTGGAATTTCATAATCAAATTTTAATTAAACTGATATATACAACAAATAATTTCATGTTGAGCTAAGCATGATTAAAAACAAAAACTAAGGTGAAATAAGACTTACCGCAGTTAAGGACTCTTGTTCAGATTCACTCTGCCAGCGCATCCTGGCCCTAATTTGCCCCAGTGGACTGTCCACTGACATGGGCTCATCTTCACTACTAGGACTGAGTGGGCCAGAGGAATCCTCATCAGCAGAAGTAGTAGAGTCTGATGAGCGATGTCTGCCTAAGATTTCAGTCAGGTCAAATGTGTCCATAGGGGATGCAGAAATACATGAATCATCACTGCCTCGTAGCTGGGTCATAGAGTTGAACTTCTGCACACACACAAAAAAAACATCTAGACTAAATTCTTCATTAAAATAAAACAGTTCCACAGTTGATGTATTAAATTGGTGATCAATCAAGACTTAATTCCTCATTAAAATATTCTACATTTGAGAGTGGGATGGAGTGGTCTAGCGGTAGAGAGCTAAACTGCTAACCCGGAAGTCTCGAGTTCGAATCCGGGTTCAAGTCAGTACCGTCCCTGAGTCTACCCAGCTCTGATGGGTACCTAACTCACGTGAAGGAAAGTAAAGGCGGCTGGGCATAATGCTGACCACACTATCTCTTCATATGCAGAGGTCACCGAAACAAGCGAACTCTACTTCACTTGCCCCATAGGCCGTCAGGTTTGAAAGGGAAACTTTACTTTTACACTTGAGTAATTAAATTAGTAAACAATTAACTTTAAATAAGCAATAGACTTTGCACTAACCTGTTTCTCAATGAACTGTCGACATGTTGCAACTTCATTGTTTGAAAGGTCAAATTGACTCAAATCAAGACTCTGGCAGATAGAATTGCAGATATGTGAATGAAAGAACAGAGCCATTCCTTTTGGCCCCAGATTTCCTTCATTATACTCCTTTCCCTCTGCTGTGTGAATCTGTGGATCTGTATAGAGGTCTCCGACACCTTGAATGTCCACCACAATCAGTTGATGACCAGAACGTTCAAAGGTGAAGTGACTAAATGCCTGCAACAGAAAAAATAAATAAGTAACCACACCATAACAAGCATGAAATTAATTTTTTTTAAACAATTATTTAACTAAGAAAACTCCAGGAAGATCTGAACTTATCAAATATGCAAAAAGTGATCAGTTTTTCCAACCCTGAATAGACTGTGTTTAACTTGGTTACTACACATACAGATTAGACACTGACCTGTGGCGTGAGTCTGAGATTCTCCTCAACAAATCCTGAATTTGAGTTATACTTAATATATTCCCCTTCAATGAAATGTTCAAGATGAAACAAAGGCTTTCCAGGGCGGTCAGGAAACTCCAGAACATACATCTGAAAGATATCCACCTGTAGAAAAAATTGTTTTTAGAAATAAGAATTATTTTTACAGACATGGAACAATCCCTATATTAAAATAAATATTTTATGAACGTGTTTCCTCTTCATAAAAGCTCAAATGTGTGTAAGATCTCAATTACTAAAAATTGTAACAGAAAATTAATTTTTATACATAACCAAAAATAGCCTAAATTCTGAAATTTTTATTTTTAAAAAAATATTTATAATGCAAACACTACACTTGAGACCAATTACCTTCTTGGGAGGATTATGCCTATTGTATTCCTCTCCCCAAAGCTTAGCATCCATTTGTAGCTTCACATCCTGAAAGTAAACATCTCTGTCTACTACTTCGATGTAACTTTTAGCCACATAGTTACTGGCATTTTTGTCCAGTCCATAAGTTGAGTTGCACACTGAAGAATGCTTCTTCTTGCTGTGAGAAAAAAATAAAATATACATGAATATATTAGTACAGTATATAATTCTTGTTTTAAACTACTTATATTTCTGCAAGTAAAGTTTCATTAATTACAAGGTACTTATGTTTCCCACCAGTATTTTCCTGTTAGGGCAGCAATGCCAGGAAATATCAAACTGATACTCCCCTATCAGGAAACAGAAGTATAAATGCTAATAATCATTATGCAGCTTGCTCATTTATACTTACACTCTAAAGCATTGCCTCATAGCACCTCTGGTAAATGGCTGTTGAAAGAAATCATATAGATTGGCTATCTACCATGCATTAGTTCGTTTGCAATAACAAGTGTGATAAGACAACCAGGCTAAAAAGGCATGGCCATCAAAGATTATTCCTAACTGCCCTTAAATAATTTTTTTTTAAATATCCATTTTTTAAATTAGTTTATCTTGTATGGGTAAATAATATTAAAAATGTTAAAATATGCATATATTTGATGAAAGTTTCTCACCTTTTTCTCCATCTTGACCAAAACATGATCTTGCATCCAGATTTTTTTTCTTGGGTTGTAGCGATGCCTGATGGCTAATTCTGTTTCAATATCATCCAGGTGGTATTTTTCCCAATGATCAACACCTTTGCGAAGCTTTTTCATAATTCTTTCAAACTTTGGTTTGAGTTTAAAGTGTGGCTTCTGATTGGGACCAGCAGCAGATTGAATCTCTCGAGCTTTGGCAATTGCTAGTGGTTTTAGATTACTATCAGGAAGTACACCAGAATAAGCCTGGAATTAAAAAAAAATATTTCATTATGGAACTACTTTTAGAATAATAATTCAGAATATTTTTTAAGTTATCAATAGAACTCATAAATTAAATATTTTTTTTTTTTATTTGTTAAGCTCACAAAATCAGGTAAAAAATTTTTTTAAATAGTAGTGAATGCTGTACTGTAGTTACCTTCATAAGTCTCCTCTCTCTGAGAGTTATAAAAGCCTTGACAGGCTCTGTCTCGCTGTCATGTCTATGTCTGTGAGAGACCCTACCGACTGCACTGTGCTGATCAGCTAGGGATTCACATGAGGCATCAGCATCAACATCTGTGATTGGGAACAGCATAATATGACCATCCTCCCCATCACTGCTGATGTCACTGCTACCATTGCTGTTGTCACTATGATCTTTCAGAACATCCATTTTTTTTTATTGATAACAATTTTTTTTCTTTATGTCCAAAAAAATGTTAATGCTATTTTAGTTTCAAGTGTTGATTTTATGTAATGTTCAATAAAATGTTAGCTTTTAAACTGGATCTCAAGAACTGTGTTATTTCAGATGCAAACTTATCACCAACAAGAACAGCTTCTGTATTCAGTGGACTGCCAATTAGCTTCTATGAGACTTGTTAGGCAGTCCATGCCTAGCAGGATAATTGCAGAACACAAAAGAGCCTGTTTAAATTGTAATGAAAATGTATTAGGTTGTGAATTTAAATTATATATATATTAATATTTCCTTTAAAGCATTATCAATGACTATCAGCACTTTACCATCCTCAAGACTGATGAAATTATTGCTATTTAATCCCCCTTTAGAAAATGAATATAGATCTAGGTCTAGTAATAAATTAGATACAATTCTCCATTAGGACTTGATGATCCATAGGGCATGATAGGGCCAAAGAATGAAGGGATGCCCAGCGAATATTTTAATCCCTAATGGATGATTTTGGATACAGATGTCCGATAATAGACTCTTCCATTCCAAAGGTGTGTAGGATTGTTAGTAGTATTGTAATCTCGACTAATTTAATGGTTAGAAATTAGGGTTAGGCATATGGTAGGACTTGGGTTGGGGTTAGGGACAGGGTTAAAGAAGATTCTATTATAACCATAGGACACTGGTATAACTATTCCCCCTTAAAGTTAAATCATAAAAGAGAATGAGGTCTAGATTTAGATAGTAGATTCATCTCTTATCTCTAGATTTAGATGTAGCATGCCAATTAATTAGTTAATTAATAAGTAAAGAAAGAGAAGAAAGAATTCAGAATGGCATAGCCAATTTTAATTTATAGTTTATAGTTTTTATATAGGCCTAGTCTAGAAAATGTAATTTTAATTAATTTCATAAAAAATGTATACTCCATCCATACTCATACTGAGCCATTAGTTAAAAAGTTAAAAGTTAGTTAGGATTAGAGTCAGTCTATATGGATCTAATAATTAATTAGTTATTAAAATGTAATATATTGTAATATAATGTATGTAATGATAATGTAATACAATGTGAATGATTTATGACCAATTTATGTAATGGTGAGGTTTACACCGATGACGCCACTTGCTTCGCGGAACTCAGCTGCCTCCAGCAATCGACAAATCCAATGTTCCGGCCAAATAAAACCATAGTCTACGTGTTTCAATCCTCGTATGAAATTTAAAAATAAATAAATACATAAAGATGGTGTTTGCTTACTTAAGCTCGACGTTGAACGTTCCTAGTTGAGCCATTTTCCTTGATAACTCAGAATAGATGCATTCAAGGGAATCTTCTAGAGATCTTGATTCACAAACAGCAGTTCCGTTTGCAACGAACGCACAAATAATAACAAACGTGTGTGGAGACAGTGTATATTTAGGTTTTTGCGCATGCGTATCGAGCAGTGTCACGTATCTCGTCCAATGTGCTAGGAACAGCTGAAAAAAATATATTCTATAATAATAAACGCAAGCTTAGCCAATTTTAATGGTGTTCTGTTTCTTTTATTATTATTTTTTGTTAATAGGCCAAGTTAGGAGAATATTTTCAAATGTAACGTTCAGGCGCAGGTGCCCAAATGTACATCACTTGGTGTATATATAGTCTAATTGGACTGTGAGTTAATCCACCTTACTTCACACTAATGTTGAAAGAGCAAATGGATCTTTAAAATATGTTTTTATAAGCAGATAATATGGGGTTGTTGGTGCTAGTTTAAAGCATTCGACCAAATTCCGCTTCGTCGTATTCAGAGTTCTTTCAGCCTCGACCCCCCCCCCTCTCCCTGAAATACGTCCACCCATCTCTAATACATTTAAAAAGTTGCACACTCACCCCGTAAACGACGTGAAAATGTTTTTGCCTCATTTGCATAGGCGTAACTAATATATACAGTAGTCGAGGAAAAACACTGAGTTAATGTTTTATTTATAGGAAGAGGAAGGTGTGGTGTGGTAAAACCCATTTCCCCTCCGCCGAGTTGTACATGACACATGACATGATCAGTTTTCTCTTAGTAGGCTGTATTCAAACATAAGACCATGGTGAATAGGCTATATTAACATTTTTATTAACAGTAAAAAAAATGGATATTCATTAAAAAAAAAAATTAGCATACGTTTTAGATCCAGTGTGTAGGACCTAGGAGGTAAAAAGTAAGATAAAAATCGTCAAAACAGCTTGACGTCATTTATAGGCAATTCCTTGAGATATGTATATATATCTACACTCTACCTCTACACACTTCAAAATGTAATCAATATCTTATTATTGGTGCAGCATTACGCCATTCCTCCGTATATCTCTCTACTAAAGTTCCATGTCAAAGTCCATGTAGGCCAATGCACTAACAAACAAAACGTGAACTACCGCATGCGTTTAACCAAATCGGTGGTTTAAAATATATAACGAATCACCTAATCTCCAGCCAAAATTCCGATCAATATTTTTAATTATGATCTAGCCTAGCCCAAAAATACGAAATTCATCAAAGAACACCAAGCCCACTTAAAGGCTGCCAGATGTTACCAAGGTAAAGGTCATCGGCCTATTGTTTATGCGCAAAGGTTTTAATTCTTTCTTATAAAATTACAACATAGACTAACCTCTTCACGCGTAGAATTAATCAAAATAAGAGTTGCACGATTTCTAACGAAAACAGCGCATTAAAAATTCTATCATTAAAAAGATAGATAGGCCTTCGTCTACCTGAGATGTATTTCATTTCAGATACCTTCCCCAGTACCGGTTCAAACAAGCTTTGTTCCAAGTAAGCGTAAGCTGAAACTGGGATAGGCCTAGCTAGACTGACTTAGCAAAATCAAATGTGTTTTGATATTGCCATTGGGGGCGAGTTCAATATGAAATCGGGTGAAAGTGTACACTTGATTCAAGTGTTCTCTAATAAAATAACTTAAACCACCAGTTTCGAGTCTGATAGGGGGTGGGGGGGGGGGGGGGGGGGAGTAAATAAAGAGTCACTAGAAGTATGTCATTGTGTTGGTAAATAAAAATGGTTAGCATAACCGCCTGCATTTCCCTAGTGACTAGTGCTCACTACAGACGAGTCAGATCTAGATACGAACATCCTGTTTAGACTATCAGTAATCGCTGTTTCTGCAGTTTGAGAACTAATGAACAGCCGCAATTAATGAAAACAGAATTGGTCAGGTGTTACTTAATTCCACCACTCAAAATGCCATATACATATTCCAAACTGCTAAGATGTAAAAGATAGAGTAAGAATGAGATTGAAATACTCTCTGCAATCCTGGATACAAAAATCGTGTAAAGAACGTGATTTTCTTTTAACTAATTTAAAACTAAAAATTTGGTTATAGAGTAGGTAGACTAGACTACAGCCGAGAAGAAACTATTGTGTAACTATTTCTAATCGACTTAAAGCTTGGCGGACAACGGGGGTAGTAAACACAATGACAACGTCGTCTGAGCTATGTGTCTATTTAGGCCTAGTTGTGTGTGTTTGTGACTAATGACGGCGATTTAGGATAGTCTGACTGTGGAAAAAGAAGGTGTATACACTTCTTTCTACTGAAGCCTTGACAGATAGACCCAACAACAAATGAATGTGCAGAGTTTCTTCCAGGCATCTCTTCGGGGGGGCGAAGCCCCCCCCCCGAAAAATTTTTACCGCCCCCCCCGAACGAAATGAAATTTATATAATTTATATAGAAAATATATACTTTTAACAGTGTCCGCCCCCCCGAAGAAAGTTTACCGCCCCCCCGAAGATTTCAAGTGCCCCCCCGGAGAAAAAAGTCTGGAAGAAACACTGTGAATGTGGGAAACGCAGAAATCGACTCGGCCTATGTCATTACTTTTTTTTTTTTTTTTACCTTAGGGCGCACTATTTTTTTTAAACCTGCCAGCTGAACAATTTCGCAATTTTAATTTTAGGTAGAATGAAGTTAAGTTCATTTACACACCGGAACTTTACAAACCGGATTATTTTGGATATTATTCCCACACCTCCCCTAATATATACTTGCTTGAACCAACCTAAAACAACACCAGACAGGCACTGAACTTTGAATCGAAAAGATAAAAGTGGCTAGACCAAAACAAACTTGGAAACAATCAGTTGTCACTAGTTGTCAGCAGTGTTTCTTCCAGACTTTTTTTTATCCGGGGGGGGGGGGGGGCGGACACTGTTGAAAGTATATATTTTCCTTATAAATTCCATTTTGTTCGGAGGGCGAATGGGGGGGGGGGGTAGACTCTTCGGGGATGGGGGGGGGGGGGCAAAGAGATGCCTGGATGAAACACTGGTTGTAAGTGAAGCACAAATAGCTGGAGGAACGTTATGGGCAACTTGGATGAATGGTCTGAACTGGTGTATGATTGCGAGGTGTTGTTGCATTCCTATTCTCCACCAGGAGTCCACGAGAATGATGATATCCCATTACATTACACACTAACACACGTCTCTAAAAAAACTTAATCGCCTTGAAACATCTCACCTTTCTTTCATACAGACCCTTCCCGGCGCCAGGGGACAAACTTTCGATTTGCACCCCCCTCAAACTTTCGATTTGCACCCCCTTCAAACTTTCGATTTGCACCCCCCCCCCCCCCTCAAACTTTCAATTTGCACCCGCCCCCTCGAACTTTCAATTTGCACCCCCTCAAACTTTCAATTTGTTTTTCCAACCCATTTTGGCGCCCCCCTAAGGTCGGCGCTCGGGGACATATGTCCCCCCCCCCCCCGCTACGCCTCTGCTCCACCAACACATTTGCATCCATTGCATCCATAACCAGTGCTTGTATTACAGAATGCTGTAACGCTAATTCGTGTTTGTCACAGGAGCTGCTACATCTCTCTTTAATGCAGCTAGTTATATGATAATGTGAACTGCACACTTAGCTACTGAACTAGTAAATTTATGTTTTGTTTGGAAAAACCCTTTGTGCGGGCTTAGAGTAAAATAATACTCATATCACAGCTGTTGATGATACCTTAGTTGTTCATATACCCGTGTTTTAAATCACAGCTGTTCATATCGCAGTTGTCCATATCACAGTTGTTCATATTACAGCTGTTCATATCTCATGGGGCTTATGCAAACCAACATAGAAATTTTGAAATCAGATCACGTGATCAGGCCACTTGCAGGGCTGCTATCGTGGGTCCTATTTGCCTGCAGGTCTAGTATTTCAAATAGTTTGTTATTGTCTCATTTGTGACCCCCCCCCCCCCCCCGCCATCCACACCCTGCTCTTTTATTATACACCAAAACCTTACACTTCATATGCTACAATTTTAATTATGTAAGAACCTTTGCATTGAACCTGGTTCCTCAAACAAGTTATATTCCCTTTCTAGCTTTGCTAAATATTTAAAACATATAGGCTAATTTGTTTTTGAAAACAAACAAAAACATATTGCCTATTTCCTAGTTACAGGTTTGATGCATGAATGCCTACAAGCAATCACAATACACACTGAAACATACGGACGAAGACATATCCATACAAATGGTTCATCGATTATATTACGAACAAGCCTTAATCTGGTGTCAGACTAGGTGACAAAGGCCTAGACAGCTGTCTTATGATACATGAGTCACATGTGTAGATCCACTCCCCCCCCCCCCCTCCACATCAATAGGGGTAAAATCCGCCGATCAATATACACCAACAGCTTATAATGTTTGCACAATAATTATACAACTCTTAGTCTAGACTAACTCTAGACCTAGATCTATTTAATTTTAATACATAACTGCCGTTTCGTCATATAGACAAGATAAATGAAGTTGAATTGAGCTGCATTTTTAAGGTTAAGGTCATTTCAAACTTATTTGCATGAGAGTATTTATATAAGACGGTTCATTTCACTGCTACCTCTACATAAATGCACGCACATTAAATGCATTAAATTGCATGTGTATTTACATAGGTTTGAAACAATGCTCAGTGCAAATATGGTCTGTTTTCAATTTTCTGCCGGCTGGTTTCGCGTGCGCCAAGCATAATAAAGTCACGTGACTAGTGAACAGATAAAGTGTTCAAACAGAGGTTACGTCCGGGCTTGACATTGACCTTGTTTTCAGAGCAGATAGGGAAAGTCTGTTTACGTTGTTGAATAGTCACGGCCGTAGCACATTTACCATAGACTCGAACTGCTGCGCGGAGCAAATTAGTGCAGTAGTAAGCGCGTCTATTTTTAAAAATTATATTACAAAATAATATTGAATTATAGAGCTTTATTTGAAATAAGAATATACAATAAATATGTAGATAATAATTCATAAGCCTATATAAATTATATATTTTTAATCCTGACTAAAAAAAAAAATGAATTCTTTGTTGTGAATAGCCACGTGGTCGGTGTACTGAAAATATGCTAAAG